TAATCCCTCTATTGAACAAGAGGTGGACCAGTCAGGGGCTTTTTTCTCATTTTCCTCTGTCAAAAACCCACCCTGCTTCTCATTCCTCTTCTCATTCCAAATGCTCACGCCTGTCCAAATCACACACACAAAATATTTTATTTCATTATCATGCAGTTAACCTACCAGTATTTTTTAACAGTCTCTCAGTGGCATCTGTCTGTAATTTGGGCAATCTGAGATTTTGCTAGATAACGATTAGTAGGTGTAAAAAAGAAATGTTTTGTTTTTGACTGTAGCTGGAGAGACAACTGTGTTTTCCTGCCTACATCTGATAATTATTGTTGAGCAAAATATCAAAGTTAATTCTATCTAAATGCATTTTTTCCCTAAATACTGTAATAGGTGCAAATAATCGTGATTTTTAAGGGAATTCCTTGATTATAATAGGGAACTGCCCTCCCATTAAAATTGGGATGTATTGAGGAGGTTTCCTTACAGCAGCCATGCTGCAATAAGGGCATTTGTGAAGCAGGAATTTAACATTAATGATTCTCTGAAATGGTTCTCACAAATATAGTTGCCAAATGGCTGAGGTCAAGCTACCATTCATACCATTTTAAAGCTATCTGGGGGAGATGTCAAGTTGCAGCATTGCATGATGGATGGTCTTTTGATAGTATGGGGTTTGCATGATGACCTTTTGTTAATTGTTGATTTTGTCTTTTGTTTTTGTATTATTCGTACAGCTGCATTTTTCAACTATACTTTTGACTAAAACTTTAGTTTTAGTTTAAACAGTAAGTGTCCACCAGCAGTGCCAATGAAAGCACAAAGGCCTTTTTACTTACTCAGCAGTTTCCAGTCAGGGTGGATGCACTATTTAGCCATGACTTTGTTGAATAAATTATATACTATAAAAATGCTTTAAAATGGGGCTTGCCATTTTAACTCCAGTTTACCCTTGTAAATAAAGTATACTTGTTACCACAGAGCTCCATATGTACGTACATTTATTTTGATAACATTAACAACTATTAGATGTTACCTTGCGCTTAGAATGTTTAGCCTTTAGCATGTTAACTTTGCATGTTAATAAATTTGCCACATTGTCAGAATCCTCTTAGCATTTCATTGCCATTTGACTTTCCATGACAAGTCTGTCTTCACAATAAAAATGACTGTGTTGACTGTAACCTAGTTAGTAATTTTGTAGATGGAAACTTTTTTGTTTGTGTGTGTGTACCAAGTAAAATCGAAGTAAAAAAAACAGTTGCCCAATAATCTTTTAAAAAAATGATAGCACTGATGACAGATTGATACACAACCATTATGAACAAACAGCTTGAACAATATTTTCCCTGCAGACTGTAGCTGTGTGCGGCCGGAAATGTGGTCACTCACTCACTTATGGATGGTAGGTGGAAGCAAAGCTTGTTCACTCTAATGCTGGTACAGAAATAAATACATAGATACAGTCAAAAAAAGAGGGTAGAGAGGTTCCATTGGTGATACATACTAATGGCTAATCCCACTATACAAGCAGGAGAGTAACAAGCAGGACTGCAGGATGCTGATGCTCTGCATTTTCTCTCTCTTGTATCCTCCTCTCCCCATCTTTATCTCCTTCTCCTACATATTTCCCACTTTTAGTAGCAGTCTGCACCCCCAGGCTGGGTATTGTGTGCTTTTCCACTTTGCTTTCCTTGCTCTTCCATCACAACTATCTGCAAAATGCCAGACAATTCACTCCAATCGTGCTCCATGGAAAGCTGATTGCCACCCCCCTCTCTCTCGTTGGGTCGCACAGTTAGGCCACTTAATATCAATATTCTCTTTGTGGTGGGAGATGGGGGGCAATTGCCCTGACTGTCAGAATAATTGCACACAGATATCTGCACACATGCGTTGACTCGTGCATGCACACAACCTTGCACACTCACACACAATGAAAATCCCAGTAACTGGGACATTACACAGGATACAAGAGCAATGACACACACACCCACACACGTATAACCCCACATTCATGGGAGAAATGGGCAGAATGGGGACACACAAAATGTGAGTCACACACATAATCGTATAGTAGGGTTAGTATGAGGAGACATGAAAAAAGCTTCAGCTCCATTTTGCTGGGTAGTGAGACACACTCATGCAGAAAGTAACTACCACTCAGTTAAGTGTGGCCTCCGGCCCATACCAGACGTATGAGTGATAGAGGCAGACAGACATGGACAGAACACTATATCAGTTTTTCTTGTAGACGACAGAAGACTTTCAGATTCAATTGATGTTAAAAACTCTTTGCATTAGACACATGATAACAGATTTGATAGTGATGTGATTGTAGTATTGTACTCATGCTCACACTACACTATCGAGTCTAGGATGTAGTGTTTCGATGTAACTGAGACAATGTTACATATTGAATACCTGACATCAGTACCTGTTCTGTAATGGTAACTACTGCAGACCCTTATGAAGCCATTGTTTTTAACTTATATATTCAGTGGCCACATAATTAGGTACGTGCTGAGGATGCCTGATCAGAAAAATATAATAGTAATTATAGTTAGCTGTTAAGTTTTTACTAGTCACAAGACTTGGTGGTTTGCGTCACTACTATTAATAAAGAACATGTCTAAAATCTGGGATTTTATTGGTTATGTTGTTAGATCCCTACACACTTCCTTGTTGTTGTATAAGAATGAAGCATATTTGATTGGATTGGTTGGTAATGTGACCAGGCCTTAGCTCAGGATGTTCAGATATTATATGGATCAGTCCTATAACAGGCACATTCATGTACAATTGGCTACTAAGGCATCACAGCGAAAGTTCTTAAGGAAGCAGGCAGCACCACTTCCCCACCATTTGTCCACTGTATATTTCAGGATTGGCCTTGTGAGTCAGTAGTTACCAGTCAAACATAATTATGTATTCAGAATGTTGTGATCACACTGAATTGCTCTGAGCAGCAATGTATCATCTTCTCCTCTAATAAAACTAAAATCCCATGAAATGGGACCAATAACTAACTCTCCTATTTTCAAAATGAGAATGTTTACTGAAAATAGAAAACATAACAGATATTTTATGACTATAGCACAGAGTTCAATCATTCACTATTCTGCCTACACATAATATATTTATTCAACTATAAGGTTGAGTCCAGAATGGAAGCTCAAGTGGTTCCTGACTTTCTCTGTCCCTACACAGTGAAACACGCATGGGTTGTAAAATACATGAATTATTGAATGGAGGTGAGTGGTGTGTGTGTCTGTGTGTATACTTACACAAGTTTCCGTGCAATACTCAAAAGTATGTCACATAGCTCATGCACTGCTGCTTCCATTTACTGGTGGAACATCTCTCTAATGTGCAGATCTAGAACACAGCAATTGAGAGCGATCAAAACATACTCGCAAGGCCTGACTCTACACAGAATCGTGCATAAGACACGCACGCACACACGCACGCCGTCATGCATGGGTATTTGCATGAATGCACTCATACAGTCTATAGGCATATACTGTAGCTATTGTTGCAAGCAATCAATGTAAGTGCACTGTTTTGTGTCACATATACACATGTTTTATATATACACATAAGCACACACATTGTGCAATGTTGTGTGATTGATTATTGTGTGCACTCAAGCAAAGTGTTTTGTTTCATTGCTCTCATTTCCATTCATTGCCGTCATGGTTCTGCTCTGATTTCTCTGTTATATCTCGTAAAAGCTTCATTGAAAACTCAGCTTTAGTGCAGCCAGATGATATTAACTTTTAAATAGCTGAATAGATGCAGGTCACTTTGCACACTTAACCGTAACAGCATGTAGTGTACACAGTTTTACTAAAACTGGAAAATATGTGGAATTCACACACTCACATACTCTTAACTGAAACTAAGACTTTATTAAAGCACTTTTATAATTATTCCAAAGCCAACCAGTTAAGTCTCTGTCTATTGGTATTATCCTGATTAAAACATAGTAGTTCTCTTTTTATATGAAGCTCACAAACATGGCTGTGACAACTGTAAGCTACTCAGTTTTAAATCTGCTTACACTTTCACAAACCTTAGTACATATTATAAAATGTCGTAATGTTTAGTACTAATATCCTCATTGACAGCAGGTGTTTTGGAACTAATTGATGAATCATTACCTGTGAGCATGAGCAGAAGTAGCCACCAGCTAACCTTGAGTTTTAATATGGAATAACAAAATAAATGAGCTTACAAAGAATCCCCTGTTAGTCTATGTCCAGGGGTAGTTGTTTAAGGAAGTGCTAAGGCTGCTTCTTGTCCTTTCCATCACTCACATTTTCCCAATCATTCTGGGGATTTGAAACAGCAGCCTGAAAGTCACATGCCTGACTCTAACCTTTAGACTACCGCTACAGCGAACAGAATCTATGATCTTCAGTGCGTGGACAGCCATGCTGTTTGTTCAGTGTATTGGCTCAACCTTCAGAGGTCTGTCTTTGCTGTCCCCTACTTCAAAGAGATGTTTGGTAATATGATTGCTCCTATACATATTTTATGAGCTTCTAAATATTGATGGAATACTGAGTAGTTTAAGTTGCAGGCGATGAGAACGTATTTGTCTTCCTTGCACTCCCTCACATTCTCTTTGATGGCTATTTCAGGTTAAATATGAGCCTTCTGATATGTGCCACTCATAGCAGTTAACTTTTTCTGAGCGTGTGTGTGTGTGTATGTGCGCGCATGTGCTTGTGTATGTGTATGTGTGTGTTTGTGTGTTAACATCATGTACACTCTTTCCCACATGCATAACAGATTTAATAACAACCATGTCAAGCTGGTTCCCCACTTATATTGTGATATAAGATTGACAACTTGAAATGTGTGGATATTTGCAAGAGAGTTTTGAGACCCTTGTATGACTGATGTTATTACACTAGCCAGTGCTTTCAGTTCGAGCTTTGACGCAGGTTCCAGCATACATTTAAAAACTATCTTTGTCTTTTCTCCTCTTGTCTCCTCTGCAGCCTTTCCATCCCATGGTAAATCTGGTGTGCAGCACTGACCTGAGGATGTTCCTGTGCGCCCTGTACGCTCCGGTGTGCACTGTGTACGGCCAGGTGTCCATGCCATGTCGATCCCTCTGCCAGCGGGCCAAGGATGAGTGCCACAAACTGATGGAGATATTTGGCGTAGCCTGGCCAGATGACATGGATTGTAGCAGGTGTGTATGTGTGTTACATTTTAAGATGAAAATATAAACAGTGTCATCACAAACAGATGGGAATCCTCTGAGATAATACAGCCGGTAATATTATTCTGGTTGTTTTTTATTTTGAAGGTATAGTGAATATTTAGCCAGGACTGAGCCTGTAATATGTGTTTTGCACATACCTCAAAACACAACTCTTTGAAGCCAACCTGCAAACTCTAAATGGCGGCATCTTGCCACTGTTCTTACTTTCTTTTACTGTCAACTCATTGCCATAGAACTCCCTTTCTATCTTTTCTATCTCCCTTTTTTTATCTCTTAGTTCAGTTGTCTTCTTCATAGTCATCTTCATGGTCTATGTACAATATGTCTATAATATATTACAATGATCTGACTTCGTAATTCTTTTGCTAGGTTTCCAGATTGTGACGAGCCGTATCCTCGTCCAGAAGACCTGCTGACAGGCTCAGAACCCACTGACCAGTCATCCATGACTGTCCAGAGAGAGTACGGTTTCTGGTGCCCCAGGGAGCTCAAGGTGGACCCAGACCTGGGTTACGCATTCATGGGCCGGAAGGACTGTTCTGCCCCATGCCCCTCAATGTACTTCAACCACCAGGAGCTGACCTTCATCCGCTACTTCATAGGAGTTGTGTCCATTGTCTGCCTGTCCGCGACACTCTTCACCTTCCTGACGTTTCTCATTGATGTTACCAGGTTCGAACGGCTAAATGTTTTATAGCATCTTCTATCAACGAGTATGATCACTTCCAAAACAGAATAAGTGGGAAGAAAATGTGTTCAAAGTTATTTAATCTTTTTTCTTTCTTTCTTTCTTTCTTTCTTTCTTTCTTTCTTTCTTTTTTTTAGGTTTCGATACCCTGAGCGGCCAATAATCTTCTACGCTGTGTGTTATGTGATGGTGTCACTGGTTTTCTTTCTGGGGTTCCTGCTGGAAGACAGGGTAGCTTGCAACGCAGTCAGCCCTTCCCAGTTCAGAGCTTCAACCATAACACAGGGCTCACACAACAAGGTGAGAGTTTTGTTTAATTCATATCTAGCATCAACACAATAACCCACATCTCATGGTAATGTTTTTGCTTTTTGAGAAGCCTGTTTGGTGTATGATGTACTGAAACGTTACTCCATTTACATTATAAACTTTCCTTAATGTTTTATTTTTTATTTTTGGATTCTGTGAATAAAACCAGCAAGCCAGTTATTCCCCCATGATTGATAACAAACTTGATGCAGATGTTTAAGTAGCAATAAATCAAAATATAGGACTCCAATTAAATGAGTTTAATTGATCAATAAATAAAATAAATATATATATATATATATATATATAAATCCTCTAAATCTCAATGCAAGCAAAGCTGTTTGACTTCTCCCCCATGACTGATTGATCAAAACTTATTGATTCTTCTCTCTCTCAGATATGCACACTGTTCTTCATGGTCCTGTATTTCTTCACCATGGCTGGCAGCGTGTGGTGGGTCATATTGACGATCACTTGGTTTCTGGCCGCCGTGCCTAAATGGGGCAGCGAGGCCATTGAGAAGAAAGCCCTCCTCTTCCATGCTGTTGCCTGGGGGCTCCCAGGGGCCCTGACTGTCACCCTGTTGGCCCTAAACAAAATTGAAGGAGATGGGATCAGTGGAGTGTGTTTCATAGGGCTGTATGACATAGATGCCCTGAGGTGGTTTGTTCTGGCACCACTCTGCCTCAACGTGGCGGTGAGTACAGTCAGAAGATAAATGAGTGGGTGGGTGGAATGAAAGAGTTCATGAGTAGATGGAGGGGTGAACAGATTAATGGGTGGGTGGATGAAATGAGTAAGAGTTTGTTGGTTGGAATTATGCAGACATGGATACATTAGTAAATGGATTGGTGGATTGGTGACAGTCTTTTGGCTTCTTTGGCCTGTCAGTCATCAAAAAATAACTCATTTTAATTTTGTGCATCTGTCACTGACTTCTCATTCATCTATCTCTCTTCAGGTGGGTGTCGCTCTCCTGTTAGTGGGCATTGTGGCTCTGAACCGGGTGCGCATGGAGATCCCTCTGGAGAAGGAGAACCAGACCAAACTAGTCAAGTTCATGATCCGAATGGGAGTGTTCTCCGTGCTCTACCTGGTCCCCTTGTTGACTGTGATTGGGTGCTACCTGTACGAACACACCTACCGCAGTATTTGGGAGACGACGTGGATGCAGGAGAACTGCAGGCGCTATCACATCCCCTGCCCATTTAAGGTAGAGAGAGAGAGTGAGAAAATGTGTGTGGCCATGAAATGTTTATATGCTTGCAAGATAAAGTATGTGTCACTGGTTAATAGAGATGTATAGGAGGGAAGCTTGCCTGGGGCAGGTCTTAGGACTTGACTCAGAAAAGAGACCACAGATTCTCTGTCTGTTAACACAGAGCAAATACCAGTAACTTCAAAAGTTATTTCAGTTGTACTGTAACTGTATCACAAAATAAATATGCCTGTTGAGTAGTTCATCAAAACTATTGTTCTACCTCCAGCCTGAAGCTCAGCTGGACATTGAAAACAAATACACAGACACACTCTTGACAGGATATCCAGCTGTATTCCTATCACAGCTCATGCTGCAGCATGCAAATGTCCCCTGATCTCTCTCTATCTCACACACACACACACACACACACACTGTGTTGCCAGTCTGCCAACGTTAGCTGGGGTGAAGTACTCAGTTTCCCCCTGTGTTTTTCTCTCCTCATTAAATCTTGTGTACTTGTAATAACTTGTGTACGAAGTAGTAAACATCCGAGGATCAATAAGATGCTTCTCCAGTAACAATACACACATACTCAAAAATGGACGCTAGTATTTTAAAGGATAATTATGTTGTTTTTTTACACCTTGAGCCTTACTTTTGTCGTTTTGGACATCATTTCCATTGGTTATGATAACAATGTATTCTCTTAAGTAATTGCTGAGATTTGGGAACATCATTGTTACAACAAAGTCGACAGACAGACAGGTTGTAGCCAGATTATCTAAATCACTTCACTGTTCATTTCTTTTCCGTTCTGTAAACTGTGATGGATTCTTGCAACAAATGGTTATAGTAACAGTTTTTCCTTATTCCTCAGTTTTCTCTTTTACATAGGTTTTACTAACCTGTGGATTTGTTTAGAACACATATTATTCTCCATATATTAGACTCCATTATTAGTATGTTCCTGATCACAGCAATCAACTTGAATACATTATTACCAAATAGAAATAATGGGCAAACCTACAAGAAGACCCACATTGTAATAAACTGAAGTAAATCTTTAATGAGCAGAGACTCTGAGGGAGGGAGAGAGGGAGGGGAGAGAGAGAGAGAGCTGGCAGTTGCACATGTGTGTGTGTGTGGCTGAGTGAGTAGGTATTTGTGGAGAGGAGGGAGCAGAGTGTAGCATGCATCATTAGCTCAGCTAATACAGCTCTCAAGACTCTCCTCCACACAAAGCTACCAAGTCTGTGTTACACTGTTGTTTCTGTCTCTTTGTCTCGCATTCTCTCTGCTGGTTCTCACACACTTATTTTGTTCTTTCAGTCAGTCCCCCCCCTCCCAGTCAGTCCAACCCCCCCTCTCTCAGGGCTTGCTCAGTCATGCACTGCTGCCTGTACTCTATAACATCTTTGTAGCGGTTATGAAGAGTGGTGGGAGTGTGGTGTTTTAGACAGTCTGGTGCTAAATGAATAACCAAATGTGCTCAATGCAGACACAAACACACTCCACTGTTTTCTGTCCCATACATACACACAAAGCACCAATAGCTTTTCACAACCTTTTCACTTTATGTTCCCATTTTTTCAGGATTATTAAAGCGGAGTGCTGTTACAGTGGTTTTATGATAGAAAAGTGTCAGCTAATTTGTGACTGACAGACTATATGCGAGGGTTGGAGGCAGGTGCAAGTGCTTATGTTACTTGTTAGTGTATGCGTGCATGCCTGTCTGTAGCTGTGTGTGAGAGAGCTCATGAAGAGAGACCCCCTTTATGACCTGTTGTAGCTCTGGAATTTCAATATTGCTATGTGTTATTTGATCTTAACCCTAGGGGGTTTTGCGTGCAAATGTGTGTGTAAGAGGGTACAATTGCATGTTTTTGGATAATTGAAGATTCTGTGGGCATTGTTCAAGTTCAAATGACTTTATTTTGTCTGTGTGCCTGGGTGGTAATTTACTGAAGGCCCAGGGCTCTTGCTTTATCTCGGGACCTAAATCTGAGACATTTAATCTCAGCCTGGGCTAGACAGAGTAAAGATAATTAATACATAGCAATTCTTCTGGTCCCGGTTCTTTCAAAGACAAGAAACACCTAAGCTTTCTAAAAGTCCTCCTCCACTAGACGTTGCCTCAGCAGTTGTCATTGTTAAAATGCATTGTGAATAGCCTCTTCACCAGAATATAATTTTCATTTTAATGTGTAAATGGTGAATTCAGAGAAAATGTAATGATTTGGATTCTATAAAATCAGAAAGTGTATCTTACATCTATACTTACCCATATACCTCTACACAACAACTCCTGCCCTCTGGTGGGAGATACTGTGTCCTGCATGAAAGGCCAAGACCATTAGAGGAGGAAGCAGTTGCTGCACACCCCAACTGCAGTTCAGCTGCTGAAGCAGCTGGGTTTTTCTAGGATTACCTTCCCTCTTCCATCATTCAAACTCATTGACTGCCTTAAAACACTTGTCATTGCTGGATACTTTTGGTTCATTTAATGTGCATGTAGTTTCAGTGGCATCCTAAGCATTTTATATTTCCTTACTGTGTTACTCTTGAGGAAATGTTTGTCCTACGCTTCCATATGTTCATGCTAATCTGCTTTCTCTCTTGTATGTTTTAGGCTGTATTTTCAACACCCTCTGTTGTCTTGATGTAATGTTATAAAGACTTCGGTCTAGACCTGCTCTATTTGAAAAGTGTCCTGAGATAACTTCTGTTATGAATTGGCGCTATACAAATTGAATTGAATTGACGATTGTGGAATTAATAGTACATTTTTCTGTCCGCTTTAGGTGGAGCAGACCAACCGGCCAGCCATGGTTTTGTTCCTGATTAAATATCTGATGATGCTGGTGGTGGGGATCCCCTCTGTTTTCTGGGTGGGCAGCAAGAAGACCTGTTTTGAATGGGCCAGCTTCCTGCATGGCCGCAGACGCAAAGAGTAAGAAGAGAGATTGGATGAGTTTCATATGTTTTTTGTCCTGTTTTTTGTGTGAGCACATGTACTGTATATCTGATCATGCTATTAGATAATTAGTATGTATCTTACATTTTCCATGTGTGAGTATTACATTTTGAATCACTACTCATAGTACACTAAGAAACACACATTTACTTGCAGTATTTGTCTCTATGGTGACACAAGTGTATACTCTGCACCTGTGTCCTTTCCCCCTCAATAACAACATATTTAACACTCTTCTCCTTCTCTCTTGTTCCGCTGTTTCTCCTCTCCACCTCTACTCAACATCTCCCTCACTTCCCCATCTTCACTTTCTCTTTGATTCATCCTTGCGTCACTGTTCTCTTCCAACCCTCTACTATGCATCTGCGTAAACTCGTCTCCCACTTTTAAATCTCTCACCCTGCCTCCCTCACCCTCTTCTCTCTGTAGCAGTGGGGTGAACGAGTCTCGTCAGGTGCTACAAGAGCAGCCAGACTTTGCCCAGTCTCTGCTGCGTGAACCCAACACCCCCATCATTAGGAAGTCCAGAGGAACATCCACTCAGGTAGGCCAGCAAACACAGCAGTAATATGGCTATATCAAAAGTAATCATTGTGACATTAGTTGTAGAAGCAACAGGACACACAGGAGTGGTATCAGTATTTATTTATTTTTTTCATAGCAGTATTAGCTATATCTCAGTAAAACACAACAATTACTATATTCATGAGATTATACACTAACAAAAGCATTACGCATTCCATATAGATTCTCCTAAATGTTACACACTGGACCTTTTGAGTCTTGAGACCAGTAGCTATTTTGCTGCTTTATTCCATCCATTACTGTCCATTAGCTCGCTGGGCTTAATAGGCTACACTCATTTCCTTTGGGCATTGGGCATCTTTTTACAACCTGATATGCATGGATGAAGATGAATGGGACAGTAAGAGAGAGAACGTTTTTACTAAAAATAAAATAGAAAATCTAAATTGCAACCTGGGTCCACAGCTTTCTGTAATAATAAAATTACTCCTTCCTGTTAAAAGTTCCGTCAGCCGAGCTCGCACTTTCTAATATGAACTCTGATTATGTTAAAGTACCCTGTAGACATTACTTAGAACATTTGATAATATAAGCATTTAGGAAGACCAGAACTGTTAAATTTTGATTATTGAATAGAACTTTAGATGATGGTTGAAGTGTAGTACATTGTACAACAGTATATCAAGACTTTGATATACTGTTTTAATATCTTTGAAAGAAAATTTAAGGGCAAACTACATCTGACCTCTCATCCTTCTGTAGGGAACCTCTACCCACGCCTCTTCCACCCACTTGGCTGTCGTGGACGACCTCGACGAACCAGTCAGAACTCACCATGGCCACCCCGCCTCCACCAGGAGTAAGGCCAGCAGCGTCCACAGCAAGACCAGCTATCATGGCAGCCTGCGCCGCACTCGTGATGACAGGTAGAGCCAAAAATCCACGACTTCCTGTTTGTGTAAAGCTGTGAATTAAATTAAACTAAATCTTTCTCTTCCTGCCTCCCCTTTCATCATATGTCTTCCTGCCCCTCTCTCAGGAGTGATACTATGGTTTACCGAGGTACCGAGGAGCGCAGCTTCCATGGCAGCATGCCACGTCTCGACCACCCGCTCTCCACTCACAGCAGCCTCCATCAGATAGACAGCCACTCGAGGCCTGGCAGCCAGCGAGACGTATCCGAGGCCCCACCTACCCTCATCACCCACGGAACATCGGCAAGCAACAGCCAAGCTGCTGAGAACGAAGCCACCAGCGCCTAGAAAGAGCCGCAAAGTTTATCAGAAATGACTGTAATGATGCTGCGATGCCTTGGCAAACACACACCTGTCTGTATAGTGTTATCCTCTACAAAGATGGAGAATGTACCAGTGAGTGCTATAGTGGTGATTTTTGGCGTTAGTTCCTTGCTGATCATTTGTTAGCAGTGTGGCTAATGGCTGACACAGATCTGTCAGTGAACTTTGCTGATCCCTCCTAGATTCAGTGAAGAGTCACTGCAAGCTGGACAAGTTGTTTACCTAATTATGCGAATTTACACAGCAGAAGACTCCTGAATGCTTGACTCAAACCAGCTGAGCCAACAAGAATAAATCCATCTCAGACGTTTGGTGACGTTAGTGATGCTGACATTATTCAGGGATCATTTTGTTTGTGTCCAGGTAAACCAGAGCTAGCGCTGGATAGGAAACACCGAAAAAAAGGAAAGAAGTCATCATACTTTATGGACAACAACACTTAGATAAATTCAAAGTGTTTTCCTGGAGGTGTAGGATTAGATCCTGGACACCAGTTTGGTCTTGAGAGCAGCATGAGCAGTCTTATGGTGGCATTGGATGACACACATGAATATTATTAAATATGTGAACACTGCCGAGTATTGCTTTTGTAACAATCTTAAATGGTTTCTCCACTCTCTGTCTTCACTGAGACTTTATTCACAATCTGTTTGTTCTGGACTGCAGCTCTTAATGAATGATGTTTATCTTTGTTCAGAGACCGACAAATATGGGCTTAATGTGAAATTGTGGACCTCTCTGTGGTTTAGTGAAATATTTTTATACTGTGAAAATTGTCTGTCTGCTGCTGAAAGCCTCATTTTCTGTGTGTGTATGTGTGTGAGAGAGAGAGAATGAGTGAGTGAGAAATAGAGACACAGACATGACTGTAGTCATATTTGTTTTAAACTTCAATTCTCCCCTCCATTTGTGAACAACGCAAGCATGATGGGAGCTGAAAGATGATGTATAAGCCAGAATGTAAAACGCCTGTTTCAGAGTCAGAAAGATGGAGATATAATACGGACATTGTCGGGTGAAATGAGCTGGAAAAATGTGTGTGCACTTAGACACATTTATTCTAGCTCGAACTGCTTTTCGACCTCCCGAAATCATTTTAGCACTGACAGAGGCATTAGTTTGATACAGAGAGAAAAGGCAGCTTTAGAAACAAGGGCGGGTGTTTACTCAGCCAGTTACATGTTCGGTCAGTTATCAGCCAACCAATCTGTGTCATAGAATCCAAAAAATAAACAGCATAGGAGCACTGATAAATGTTGATAACCAGAGCATTGTAACCCAAATTCAGGTACATAGCTATCACTGCATTGAAGCCTTGCTGCTGCATAGACTGGGTTACAATTTAAAAATGAAAACTTGTAACAGTGCTCCTATTCTGAAATATGTCGCGTACACAAGGCTGAATGGTTGTTTCTTGAGGGGAAGTGCTTTTTTTTTTTTCTAATGTAATTGTGACCACTGTACTTGATATGTACCTAAACAGCTACTCTACATGCTCTTTGCTCATGTTTGTTTATTGTGCTGTTCAGACCTAGAACTCTAAATTACCCAAAGAGGTGCAGACAATTGGCAGTGAGACTGTAGAAAAACTAATGTTTGCTGATTGTGCATTGCTACATTTTCTCTAACAACATTGTTTTATGTTTAAGTAAAGGATACAGGAAGTGTGTATTGTAACAGGTTTTTTTCTATAGTTTGTGCTTTGTACCCAATCCCTGAAGACCCAATTAACCTACCTCACCTGCACCCTTAGCCTCCTCTGTATCTACACACACTCACACACACACACACACACACACACACACACTACTGGGTGCTTTTTGTAAAGAAAAACGGTCATAAACAAAATCAAGTAAAACATACCTTAATTGACTTTATTGAGTTAAAATGTCAAGCATGCACACACAGACCTTACATAACAGTAGGATATCCGTGGCTGTCCGTCTATCCTTCCCGCAGTTAGCTTTGTGTTTTTCTAGTCTACCTCTTGAGTTCAGATGTACCTAATTAACTCTCTGCCTTTCACTGCTGCCTCTCTGTCTACACCTGTGTTATATTTCTCACCATGACCACCTCCTTACTGTCAACTTGTCTGCCTACATATCTGTTGTAAATAGATTTTCCATCCTATCTGATGACTAATCTGCCTCACATCTGCCTTCTGCCTCTCCTCCTGTAAATGTGCCCACGCTGATCTTTTTTTGGACCTACAGCAACTGTCTGTTCTGTACTCTGTACAATTCGCGACTTCTTACAAACATTAACCGTTGTGCTTTTACCTCTGAATCTGACATTACAATGAGAGATGCGCTAAACACTGTCATTGATCTCTCCTTTTCAGCTGTTAAATATCTCATTCTTGTTAGTTCACCTAAGTCTGTAATGATTAGTATTAGTCCCCCACAGTGAGACATGAGGAAGAAGGTTTCTGATTTCATACTGTGTTACAGCTTCAGAGTGAACAGCAGTAGCTTGAAAATATGCCACATTATTAATGATGGTTCAAAAATATAATATTGTGAATTCTGAAACTTGAGTTGTATTTGCCTTTTAATTTATTTGCAGTTTGGAACTGTAATTATTTCTTTTACATGCAGTCTAATAAACTTTTTACAGACTTCGGTGATTTTGCTATTCTGTTCACACTGTTATTCTGTATTTATTCTTTCTGACTAATCTTCCTACCACCCCAGGTGATGCTGTAGTGGTTACGACATCTGAATACCATCCCCTTTTACAGAAAAACTAACTGCATCTCCTTCATTAAATGATTCATTTGTAGCTGTAGTGGCTCTTGCAAACGTCAACATGTAAAAGTTCAGTTTAGTGACCACAGGTTTCACCAATGGCATAAAGTTGTGGTTTTAGAATCAGCACAATCATAGAAAGCAATAATTCAAACTTTGGAAACAGCTACTTATAAATGGCAGTATCTTCAGCCTTCTCCACCAGGACCAGCCATTTGCCTTCTTAATCCTTTGGGAAAATTGGCTAACAGTTACTCAGTCAGGACCAGATTCCCGATCGTTCTCGTTTCCGGCGGACGATGGCGGCCACGTCTTGTTTGAGCGTGGAGACGCTCTGTTCCAGCTGCTCCGAGAAGCCCCTCAGCAGGCGACTCTGCTCGTCCACAAACAGCCTGAGCCCGAGCAGGTCAGAGTCCTCCTGGAAACAACAGGAACACATAACCTCAACAGTTAACCATGCACATATTCTGTGTCCTCTAGGGCTTACGACTAGCAACTGACTCCTCATTCTACCCTTTTCCAGATAGTTAACCAAAAGAAATAATTACAAAAACAGCAGGTGTCTAATTGCAGCCCTGATTGTAAATGACCTAAAAAGGCCTTTCATGTCTGGTATGCAGATGTTTGTTTTCCAGCTGGTCTTGCTGTTGTGAAATTACTTACAATCATAATAATGAAATATGATTATATCAAAAAAAAAACTTTCAATGAACTCTTGTAAAATTTGTAAATTCCCTGAAATGTCTAGATTGAAATTCTTTTTTTGTCACATTCCAAGAAAACCCAAGTAGGCAAATCATTAAAATCCTCCAACTTCTCTCTAATCTTACTAAAGCCTTTCTTGAATGCCAGTTAAATTATGTGACTGATTGTGTATTGTTCTCTATAGATCTACTGTTGATTAACTTTGATCACAAGGCCGTATTGTAGTAATGCTCACTAATGCTAATGCTGCAGGAAGACGTGGATACGTACACTGGGCCTGTGTCTGCGCAGGCGCTGCAGCTGACCCCTGACTGAGGTCATGCTGTGGTAGAAAACCTTGAGAGAACGAGCAAATTCTGCATCACAGCTGGGACGCACTGACCGACCACGCACACTCTCTCCACCTAACACACAGAGGGAGGAAGGTGTGTGTGAGAAAGAACACATCACCTATCACTGACGGAATAAAAATGTTATGAATGGGAATGCTGTAGCATGAAACTACTGTTAAATCCTGTCTGTAAATAAATTACTCTGCAACAGTAAAGTATAGACGTGATGTAAAAAGTTGATTTCATTTACCATTCCTGGCTGTGTTGAGTTGTTCTCTCAGACTATGATTTTCTTTTCTCAGTGAAGCATTAACACTTCTGAGTTCTTCCAAGTCTTGTTGAAGTGCTCTCACTGAACAGCTGAGGTCTGTAGAATCTACAGGCTGCAACACAACCACACATTTATATAAACACTGTGATTCTTTGCCTCATAAATTGTTGTTTGAATAAGAGATGACACCATGCCTGTGCACTATAATTGCTTGTAACTTCTTATTAAGTCAAAAGTATGAAGAAACAAATACTACAGTTACTTGAGTCTATCGTATGATCTATGATTTTACAATTCTACTGTCTTACAACTTACCTTACAGTAAAGTAAATTCATTATGTAATAGGTTGCAAATGTATCTTTTCCATACTTGTGTATGATTCCTTATGTAGGAATACAGACTAACATTAAACTCACCCCAATGTCTGTTGAGCCAGCCTCCTCGATAATAAAGACGCCTTCCGTAGTCATCCTCACTCCCTCCAGAGATGATAACAAGTCAGTACAACCCTCTGAAATAGAAAAACAACACCTATCAGTAGCTTTAATGACTGTCTTTGATTGACAGCCAAATATACCATAGTAATAACATGAAATGGAGGCATTAAGGCGGGGTGATATCTGATTATCTTCATTTTGGGCTGCTTAGGTGAAATAAAGCCTGCATAGTTCACTTCCAAAATGTGTTTGTTTTTGTTTTGTTTTTTAGCTTTAAGCCAAAAATACAGTAAAAGCATCCATTTATCTCTGCATCCTCACCCTGAAGGCCCCAGAGCTCCAGCACTACAGCGCTGCTCTGCAGGTAGTCGAGCAGACGTTGGGAGGTCTGGAGGGAGGCAAAATGAACTCTGTGATCCAACAGAGGATTGACGTTGTGCCACACAGCTGGAGTGTAGAGAGGCTGTCTGCAGTCAAACAACCTGAAACTGAAAGAGTGGGGGAAGAGGAAAAAAGAACAGAGGAGAACAAGTACCGTATCTTACTTCTGGAATCCAGAAGACAGTTATATTCCCCGTCTATAATGACACTTCCTATCAAGATGTATCGTTCAGAAAATGCCAAATTACATCAGAATTACGTCTTTTTTTTACCAAAAAAATCAAAGGTATGTTACCCACATCTTCTGCAACCACTAACTTAAATGATGTTTTGTCTCCAATAAATTTTCTCTGTGCATGTTCTGCTGTCTTGACTTCCAGTTCCTGGAATATCATTAATTGTAGGAATTCTCTGAATCCTCCCTGCCCTTCAAACTCTCCTTAGTGCTCTATATGTAGCCCCATATGCCTCACCCAATTTGGACCCCTCTATTGCGGGCCTCTCTGATCCAGCGGAGGCCACAGCACTGCTCCAGGACCAGCTGGAAGTCCAGTCGTCGGCCCAGTAACTCAGATGGGTCGATCAGAATGTCATCCTCACCCAGAGGCCTGAAAGGTGAGAAAGATAATACAGTATGTCTCTGTGTTTATTAGGGTTATTCACAGTGTGTGTGTGTGTGTGTGTGTGTGTGTGTGTGTGTGTGTGTGTGTGTGTGTGTGTGTGTGTGTGTGTGTCATACAGTCCCGTGGAGGTGCAGGGGACCAACTGTGCTTGTAGAATGGCCTCCTCCGTTCCCTCTGACCCCAGCACCTGCAGACAGAGATTATTACCTACAGTACCAATATTGTAGGAAGGGGACAGGTGTGTGTGTGTGTGTGTGTGTGTGTGTGTGTGTGTGTGTGTGTGTGTGTGTGTGTGTGTGTGTGTGTGTGTTGTATATCAGTGTGTGTACCTCAAGTTGCTCTTCCAGAGGGATGCGGAAGGCCAAAGACTGAAGCCAGAGGTGAGCAGTGCCCAGAAGCAGAGGCTCCACAGGATCCCAGAAGGGATCTTTATCTCTGGGTAGCGCGGCTTTAGACAGCCCCTCTACTCTCTGACAGCAAGAACCAAAGGCAGATTCAAATATGAATAATGATAATAATAATATTAATAATAATATAAAGAGTTATTTGCTCTGAAATGTTAACTTAACTAATCATGGTAGGGCTAGCTAATGTTGACTGTGCTGATCTTCTAAATTATGCTCCAGTTCCATCAAGCTACAATCCCTCCATGTGAAGAATGATTTTAAAATAAAGCACTGTGAGATGATCATAAAGTTATGAGTCTCCTCTCCTGCCACGTTTACTTATTTTAATGTTTTCTCTCTATTCTCTTTTCATATATTATTAAACTCCTTAATCTAACTCTAACTCTTTTTGGACAAGATGTTTGATTTACAGTTGGTAAAAGAAGTTTGTTGTCTACATAAAAGTTTTTGAAATTGTTTGCATTTCAGCTGATTTGTAAATAGTCTCTTATTACATTTTGAAAAACATAAGAGATGGTCTTTCCACTGAATTACATTTTCTCCACTTGTCTCAACCTGATGCTGCTGGTAGACCTCTTCCATCAGGAATTTACGGTTCACAAACTTGACCTTGGACCACATCCATACCTGGGCGAGGAGTTTAGACAAAGAAACAAAAATTTAAGACCCAAACCTATACCTAAATTGAAATTGGAATTATAAAAAAAAACGCTAATGAGCTATTGTACATGAGAGACAGAAAGAGAGATAGAGCAACCTGTTTTTTTCCCATAGTGGTGACTCTGACAACAATCTCCTTCTCCAGGTCGTGGCCTTTTGAATCTGACAGCGCCAGATTCTTGATCTCCAACTTAAACTCAACCCCCTACAAACATGGCAGACAATACAAAGCAGGTGTTTATTAATTGTTAATGCATAACCATGAGACCATAAAAAGACAAAAATATATTCCGTTATTTGATTTACACACATTATTGCCTCCAGTAGGAACACATTAACCAGAAACCTCCAAAGACAAATGTCTGGTACCTTGTTCAGTTCCTGGCTCATCTGGTTGGCCTCAGCCACCATGGGCATCAGTTTGATGTAGTCGTAGAAGACGGCCAGCAGACTGGGGTCTGTCTGACTGGACCCAGCACTCGACTCACCTAACACAGACAGATAAATAATATCTAACAAGTTTCATTCCAAAAATTAACTTCCTTTGCTCCCAGGTATTGATCCTCTCCCACTCACCCAGGTGGATGCCCTCAGCAGCAGCCAGCTCAGATTGGAAGTAGTCATAGTCATAGCGGCTCCAGTCGTCCCCACCCCTTTCAGAGGGATAACCAATGAACAGATAGGTACAGTTGGAACCGAGAATGAGACGGTCCTAGAGGGAGACAGAAGAGAGAGAGAGTTTTGTGTGTAAGTTTAACACAGGTCACACATTCGTATCATAAAGTTTGTGCTGTGTTTGTGCTGAGAGACCCACCAGGTGCTGCAGCTCAGTTGTCTGGGAAACAGTATTGCCATTGATAATAACCTTTGACCCTGCGAGCGGGGTCAGTGTTACCCGGCGTTGTTCGTTCCTGAACACAGCATGACGCTCCTGGATCCTGACACACAAAAACACTACCACTCAAAGATGCAGAAAAAGACAAAACATTTTAATGAGCGACCTGCAGCCTATCCCAGCATGCATTTGGTCAGGTTGCCCGAAAGATCACATCCACCTTTATACATCATGTATGAACTGTATAGCACAAAATAAGAGAATGAAATGTGGGCTGTTAAATATCAGGTCTCTGTCCTCTAAAGCTGTTTTAGTGAACGAATTAATATCAGATTATGATATTGATTTACTTTGTCTTACTGAGACCTGGTTGTCCCACGAGGAGTATGTTAGCCTAAATGAATCCACCCCCCCCAGTCATATTAATACTCACATTCCTCGAGGCACTGGCCGAGGAGGTGGAGTAGCAGCCATATATGATTCGAGCGTTTTAATGGACCCTAAACCTAAACTAAATTATAATTCATTTGAAAGCCTTGTTCTTAGTCTTTCTCACCCAAACTGGAAAACACTGCAGCCAGTTCTATTTGTTATAGTGTACCGCGCTCCTGGACCGTACTCTGATTTTATATCTGAATTTTCAGAGTTTCTATCAAGCTTAGTCCTTAAATCAGATAAAGTAATTATTGTAGGTGATTTTAATATTCATGTGGATGTTGACAATGACAGCCTTAGTAATGCATTTATATCATTAATAGACTCAATTGGCTTCTGTCAGAGTGTAAATAAACCAACTCATTGTTTTAATCACACTCTTGACCTTGTTTTATCATATGGCATTGATATTGAACATTTAATAGTCTTCCCACATAATCCTTTCCTATCTGACCATTATTTAATAACTTTTGAATTCATACTATTAGATTATAAGCCATTAGGCAAAACTTACTACAGCAGATGTCTATCTGACAGTGCTGTAGCTAAATTTAAGGAGGAGATTCCTTCAGTGTTTAATTCAATGCCATGTCTGAATTTAACAGAGTCCTATAATGACTTTAGTCCCTCTGAAATTGATAATCTTGTCGATAGTGCTACAGGCTCACTACGATCAACATAAGACTCTATCGCTCCTATAAAAAGGAAATTATTAAAACATAGGAGACTAGCACCTTGGTATAACCACCAAACCCGCCAGTTAAAACAAATAGCTAGAAAATCTGAAAGGAAATGGCGCTCTTCCAAATTATCAGAATATCGCTCAATTTGGCAAGATAATCTTAAAACCTATAGAAAGGCCCTCCGTAATGCCAGAGGAGCCTATTACTCAGCACTAATAGAAGAAAATAAGAACAACCCTAGGTTCCTCTTCAGCACTGTAGCCAGGCTGACAGAGAGTCACAGCTCTATTGAGCCACATATCCCCATAAACTTAAGTAGCAATGACTTCATGAGCTTCTTCTATAATAAAATTATTACTATTAGAGAAAAAATTAATCACCAACTGCCATCAACAGTTATCAGTGGCTCTCCAAGTTCAGGGACTTCTGTCAATGTAAACTTAGATGTATATTTAGACTGTTTTTCTGCTATCGATCTTCATCAGTTAACTTCAATCATTTCTTCATCGAAGCCATCAACCTGTCTATTAGACCCGATCCCAACTAGGCTGCTTAAAGAAGTTGTTCCCTTAATTGGCACTTCTTTACTGGATATGATTAATCTTTCTTTATTATCAGGATATGTACCACAGTCCTTTAAAGTAACTGTAATTAAACCCCTTCTTAAAAAGTCCACTCTTGACCCAGGGGTTTTAGCCAACTATAGACCGATTTCTAATCTCCCCTTCCTCTCTAAGATTCTGGAGAAAGTAGTCGCCAAAGAGTTGTGTGACTTTCTACATAACAATAGTTTATTTGAGGATTTTCAGTCAGGATTTAGAGTTCATCATAGCACAGAGACAGCTCTGGTTAAAGTTAATAATGACCTTCTGACTGCTTCTGACAATGGACTTGTCTCTGTACTTGTATTATTAGATCTTAGTGCTGCATTTGACACCATTGACCATGATATTCTTTTACAGAGACTTGAGCATCAAATTGGCATTAAAGGAACTGCCCTAAGCTGGTTTAAGTCATACTTATCAGATCGTTCTCAGTTTGTACATGTTAACGATGAATCCTCCATAAATACTAAAGTTAGTCATGGAGTTCCACAAGGTTCTGTACTTGGACCAATACTATTTACTTTATATATGCTCCCTTTAGGCAACATTATTAGGAATCACTCCATTAACTTTCACTGTTATGCAGATGATACGCAGTTATATCTATCAATCAAACCCAATGAAATTAATCAATTATCTAAATTACAAACATGTCTTAAGGACATAAAATCCTGGATGACCTGCAATTTTCTGATGTTAAACTCAGAAAAAAACGAAATTCTTGTTCTTGGCCCCAAAAACCTTAGAGACTCATTGTCTAAAGATATAGTCACTCTAGATGGCATTAACTTGGCCTCTAGCACCACTGTCAGGAATCTTGGAGTTATCTTTGATCAGGATTTGTCATTTAACTCCCACATAAAGCAGACCTCTAGGACTGCCTTCTTTCATTTACGTAATATTAGAAAAATTAGACACATACTATCACAGACAGATGCAGATGCATTTGTTACTTCAAGGCTGGATTACTGCAACTCTTTATTATCAGGTTGCCCCAATAAGTCCATTAAAACGCTCCAATTAATTCAGAACGCTGCAGCACGAGTACTGACAGGAACTAGAAAAAGAGATCACATCTCTCCTGTACTAGCTACTCTGCATTGGCTCCCTATAAAATGTAGAATTGAATTTAAAATCCTCCTCCTCACCTATAAAGCTCTTCATGGTCAGGCCCCTTCATATCTTAAAGAGCTCATAGTACCCTATTACCCCACTAGAACACTACGTTCTCTGAATGCTGGGCTACTTGTGGTTCCTATAGTCTCTAAAAGTAGAACAGGAGCCAGAGCCTTCAGTTACCAAGCTCCTCTCCTGTGGAACCAGCTTCCAGTTGTGGTTCGGGAGGCAGACACCCTCACCACATTCAAGAGTAGGCTTAAGACATTCCTCTTTGATAAAGCTTATAGTTAGGGCTGGATCAGGTGAGTCCTGAACCATCCCTTAGTTATGCTGCTATAGGCCTAGACTATCGGGGGATTTCCCATGGTGCACTGAGCTACTCTCTTCCTCTCTCTTTCTGCACTCATTCATGTCCCTTTAATGCATGTTACTAACTCCACTTCTTCCCCGGAGTTCTTGTGCTTTCTCGTCTCGCAGGTTCTCATGGATCCTGGTGGAGCCTCCTGCCATGGTCCTGCTTGACTGCCATTGCCAATACTGTTGTTGCTGTGCACCTGTCTGTCTGTCTGTCTCTCGCTCTCGCTCTCTCTCTCTCTCTCTCTCTCTCTCTCTCTCTCTCTCTCTCTCTCTCACCCCAACTGGTCGAGACAGACGACCACCCACCTAGAGCCGGAGGATCTGTCCTAGGTTTCTGCCTTTTAACAGGCAGTTTTTCCTTGCCCTTGTCGCCAAGTGCTTGCTCATGGTGGTACTGTTGGGTCTCTGTAATTAATGTTAAAGAGTTTGGTCTAGACCTGCTCTATTTGAAAAGTGTCCTGAGATAACTTCTGTTATGAATTGGCGCTATACAAATAAAATTGAATTGAATTGTATAGCACTGGGTTTGTGATGTTCTATTGTTCCCTGGTGCGGTCTTGTTGTGACGGAGACTCACCCTAAGCCCTTGACAGAGATGGATCTTGGGGAAGAGTCACACAGGCCGATGTCCCATTCACCTGGAACACACGGCAGTGTTAATGAGTGGTAACGAATACCCTAAAAACTGCAACAATGGGTCAGTCAGACCATGATCTCTCTAAAGGGTAGAACTAGACAGTTGTACCCTCCTGAATGAAAAGCTTGACCACGCCGGACAGCTGAGCGTCCTCATTGATGTTCAGGATGTAGGGATGCATCTGCATCATCCTCCTCTCCTGACAGTGAGGGAGAAGGACAGAGAGACGTTACAATGACAGTAGGGGACAGGAAGAGACAAGAAGGACACATTTAGTACATGGGCCAATATGTATTAATTTATTCACCATCATCAAGTTCACCTTACCTTTCAATGTGTGTGTGTGTGTGTGTGTGTGTACCTGTGTGATGTTCGCGTACTGCTGCTCCCAGTCCTTCAGCGCCTCCTGCAGGTGTTGTTCCCACAGAGTCTGAATGGCTCGGATCTGGAGCTCATTGTGGGTCAGCAGCTGACGAAGCTCCTCTGAACACACATATACACACACACACACACACACACACACACACACACACACACACACACACACACACACACACACACACACACACACACACACACACACACACACATAGACATGTTGACCTCTCTAACCCTGCTGCCTGCTGAATTCCCTTCTCTGCTAGTCTTACTGGTCTCGTCGTTGGCTCTGCGTCCCTCCTGGCCCAGCCGGCTCAGTCGTTGCAGCAGCCTGGCATTCTCTGCCTTCAGCTCTTTGACCAGACGCTCAGTGGGGCTCTCGTTCACCACTGCTCGGTTCTGAATACGCTTTGCCCTAAAGAGGTGGAGGAGGTAGGGACACAGCGAGAGAGGAGTGTGGATGGGGTACGGTTGGAGCAGAGAAAATGCCATGGAGGCCAAGAAAGAAGAAAAAACAGGGGAAGGAGAATAAGTTTAAGTGTGTGTTTTTTATTATGGCGGCAACCTGCTGTTTTTTCATGATGGGTTGCACAGCATAAGGGGTTTGTTGTACCTCTCAGCATAACGCAGGGTGGAGAGAGACTCCTCATAGCAGATATCAGCAGGACTCAGCGTGGCAATCTTGAAATTTGAATTAGAAATAACTTAATTGATCTGTTTATTTACAGTATATGAACATTATGTGATATCATATATCATATATACTATCTTCTGTTACCATAACAGTGCGGCTGTTGCCTCCCAGTGCAGACTGCAGCAGCTTGGTGAGAACTGAGTCTCTGTAGGGTATATGGACAACCTTCTTCCCAACCGCCACATCAGCGAGGGAGCTGGAGGTGAGGACAATAATGAGAAGAATACTGATAAACCAAACTGAATATAAAACTAGATGAAGCTAACCCTCAGGCACCAACCTGATGACATTGCCCAGAGTGGTGAGGCTCAAGTTGATGGCTGTGCCCTCTTTCAGTCTGTCAGCCTCCGACCCTGACGACCGCTGCCGCTCACTGCCAGCCAGGTCTACCAAGTTAATGTTGGACTGCTTTGTGATGCTCTCTTTGGAAAAGATCTGACAGGGAGTCATGTCAATAACAAATGTTTGAAGAAACCTGAAGATAGTACAACATTTTGGAGAACTTCTGTAGCAGGACTGAAACTGGAACATAGCAAGTGGGGCCATTTACCTGTTTGAGCTGGAGGATGATGAGCATGTGTGAACGACTGCTATTGGCATTCATGTGTGTGGCAGCAGTGGTTCGGGTCCTGGTCCCCTGATCCATCAACTGCTCCACCTACATTTTAAAACTCACACTATAACATGTTTCCAAACACGACACATATAAAAACACTGACACAGCATACATACGAATATCTGACATGCCCCTAAACATCCCATGTAGCTCTTAGCCTTAGTTTGGTAACTTTAAAGCAGCAACCAGGAACATTCTTCAGGATTTTTTAGTTGATTCTGGCGCCCCCTGTGAACAAAAGCGGTACAGTTTCCTCTGCTTCGTTTTATTGATTTGAAGGGGAATTCGACTGAACACAACCTGGTGGCAGGCATTAAGAATAACTGTGTAAAAATAATAATCTTCTTGCTGACGGTCTCATGCTTATGGAGGTCATGTACAGGCATCAGTATTCAACTGTTTCATAACCAGTTAAAAACTCCTTGTAGTAGGTTTAAGTGAAGTAATAAACACTTGTTGTTACACTATGTAGAGGTTTTTCTCTCTATATATATTTACTCTGCATCCATCTCTTTACCTGTGGTGCACTCTCACACGGGACTGTTCGGAGACCCTCCACATAGAAACCTCTTTGCTGCTCCTCTCTGACTCTGAGTCCCCCCGGAGTACGAGACCCCCGAGACAGCAGGTCAACCACCTGGACAGAGAGGAAAGAGACAAAAAGAAGATGATGATGACACAAAAAAACAAAGAAAAAGAAAGAAGACAACAGCAGAAACAACAGTAGCTGTTTTTCCCTTCTGTTACCTGCTCATTATAGATTTCCAACATACTGAAAAACACCTGTGTAGACATCAAGAACAAAGATATTAAGTTTTCACACCCATATGTGACACTGTGTGCTGGTAAGGACGTGAAAAAGCCACACACACACACACACACACACACACACTCTTTACCTGACACTGTCTGGTCTCCTGGTTTTCTCTGATGGCCTGAAACAGCCGCTCACAGAGTTTAGGAACCAGGCCTTTGTTAGGCCCATAGCCCACCATTGAGTAACTCTTCCCTGAGCCGGTCTGGCCATAGGCCAACAGTGTGGCATTGTAACCCTGCAGACAGCACAGACCTAGAACCTCAAAATTGTTTTAGCCAACTAGCACAGAACAAATTCAGCTTGGCAGCAAATAAACAACACTGAGCTTTGTGATATAAATGTGAATGAAACTGCAGTTAACCATGTGATGATTGCCACCTGCAGTGCATTCTCCAGAATTCCCTCTCCCAGGTCCTGGAAAACACTGTCCTGGGGATAGATGGTATGGTGTGAGCTTTGTAACCCAGAATTGTCTTGATCAAACTCTGCTTACCTTTTTCTGGGTATTTTCTCCCTGGACAGTCTACATTTATACTGTCTAGATTTTTTTTTTACTATCTACAATACATTGTGCTGGTTGGTTTTATGAATTGAGAGAACTGACTCAGAGCTGACCTGGTCAGCGTATCGTCCCCCGGGCTCTTCAGGCACAAAGAGGCCACTGCGGTCTTGTGCGAAGCCACTGTGGGACCAGTAGGCGTAGTCAAAACAAAACGAACGGCGGCTCTGGGATTCACGCGGGTCATGGATAGTGATGGAGCTTGACACCATGGAGACAATACACCGACTGCCTGCATCCCTCTCTCTCTGGATGGAGGAAGGAGATACATTGAGGATGAGGAGAGGAGAAAACAGGGCTGTTGGAAGACTGAAGCTTCCATAACCACATTTAATTTGGATATCAAGGAAAATGGGGGGAAGTGAAAGTAAAGGTTCCTTTATTCCTCTTCAGAAGCAAACTATCTATATGAGTCTGATGATTTAGTGTTTTAGGTCCGTGTATGTTTTGGTCATTGGATTTTCCTTTCAGAAACGGGTATTAAAAAACAGAAAACGAGTGGTTATTTGATTTTCGTTTTAAAATACAAAAATTAAAATTGAAATACAAGGCGTTTTTCTTTTTCATGGTCAGAAAGGGATGAGCGAAATTAAAAAAATTATTCGATTTTCATTTTCTATTTCATATAACAAAAAATAAAATCACTAGAAAACAGAAACAGAAAAAAAGGCCTGTTTTTTCATATTCTGAGACCGGATGTTGTCATTTACAGGACCGTGCTGTGTAGAAGAAACAGTAGGCTAGTAGACTGCGGTCAATCCAGCCGTGAGTCCAATCTTGTGGTCAAATCATCCATAGCCTGGAATTATTGAGCAAAGTGTTTTTACAGTAGCTCAAATATATGAAAATATGCCACATGGAGGTACAAATATGGACTTTTATTGTTGAATTTCTCCAAATTGGTACAATAAAAATGCTTGATATTAAGTATGTTTGTAGTCTCATATGTGTAAAAGTCAAATATACCATCAGTAGCCAGGAAACACTGAGCAATATGTTTTTACAGTACCTCAAATATGGTCAAATATGCAATCTCTGGAGGCATAAATATGAGGCTTTTATTTTGGCATTTCTCCACACTGGTGCAGTAAAGATACTTGATATAAAGTGTTTTTTTATTCATCAGGGGCGCATGAAACACTTTAATGTAACATATTTTAATTATAGCTTATAAAAAATACCTTTATTTTGAAAACAGGAAGTAAATACGCTGTTTCTCCGCATTTACCATAATGCTGAGAATACTTGTACACTCTAAATTTAAGTGCGGCTGTTTTGACCACGGAGATCGGACTCACGGCTGGATTGACCGCAGTCTACTAGTCTACTGTTTCTTCTACACAGGTCCGTGTATGTTTTGGTCATTGGATTTTCCTTTCAGAAACGGGTATTAAAAAACAGAAAACGAGTGGTTATTTGATTTTCGTTTTAAAATACAAAAATTAAAATTGAAATACAAAGCGTTTTTCTTTTTCATGGTCAGAAAGGGATGAGCAAAATTAAAAAAAATATTCGATTTTCATTTTCTATTTCATATAACAAAAAATAAAATCACTAGAAAACAGAAACAGAAAAAAGGCCTGTTTTTTCATATTCTGAGACCGGATGTTGTCATTTACAGGACGGTGCTGTGTAGAAGAAACAGTAGAGCAGTAGACTGCGGTCAATCCAGCCGTGAGTCCGATCTCCGTGGTCAAATCAGCCGCATTTAAATTTCGAGTGTACAAGTATTCTCAGCATTATGGTAAATGCGGAGAAACAGCGTATTTACTTCCGGTTTTCAAAATAAAGGTATTTAGAACAGTAAGCTATAATTCGAACCTACATTTAAAATAAAATATGTTACATTAAAGTGTTGTGCCCCTGATGAATAAAAAACACTTTATATCAAGTATACTGCACCAGTGTGGAGAAATGCCAAAATAAAAGCCTCATATTTATGCCTCCAGAGATTGCATATTTGACAATATTTGAGGTACTGTAAAAACATATTGCTCAGTGTTTCCTGGCTACTGATGGTATATTTGACTTTTACACATATGAGACTACAACCATACTTAATATCAAGCATTTTTACTGTACCAATTTGGAGAAATTCAACAATAAAAGTCCATATTTGTACCTCCAAGTGGTGTTTTCATATATTTGAGCTACTGTAAAAACACTTTGCTCAATAATTCCTGGCTATGGATGATATATTTGACTTCTACACATCTAAGACTACAAGTATACTTAATATCAAGCATTTTTACTGCACCAATGTGGAGAAATTGAAGAATAAAAGTCCCATATTTATACTTCCAGATTCCATATTTTCTTATATTTGAGCTACTGTAAAAATGTAAACTGTATGTGGAACCACCTGCAACAGCTGTCACACTGAATAATATAAAAAATAATATGTGAGGAAGAGACAGTAGGTACAATGGTGTTTTGAAGTTAAAACTAATTATTTTTCCCTTTTACCTACAAATGGACACAGCAGAGCTGCAAAATAAGAAGAATGTGGACTGGCATTGCATTTTGTGTGAAAAGTAAACAAATTAGAATTGTGTAGGATTTTGTGTTTAGTGTTTAGTGTTTATATTATATATAATTATATATATGTTATTAAACATTTGTGTGAAAATTTGTACTGTAAAAACATATTGCTCAGTGTTTCCTGGCTACTGACTTTTACACATATGAGACTACAAGCAGACTTAATATCAAGCATTTTTATTGTACCAATTTGGAGAAATTCAACAATAAAAGTCCATATTTGTACCTCCAAGTGGCATATTTTCATATATTTGAGCTACTGTAAAAACACTTTGCTCAATAATTCCTGGCTATGGATGGTATATCTTACTTCTACACATCTAAGACTACAAGTATACTTAATATCAAGCATTTCTACTGCACCAATGTGGAGAAATTTAAGAATAAAAGGTGGTTCCCCTGTATGTGGAACCAACTGCAACAGCTGTCACGCTGAGTCTGTAAAAGGGAAAAATAATATATGAGGAAGAGACAGTAGGTACAATGGTGTTTTGAAGTTAAAACTAATTATTTTTCCCTTTTACAGATTCAGTGTGACAGCTGTTGCAGGTGCTTCCACATACAGTGCCTACAAATGGACACAGCAGAGCTGCAAAATAAGAAGAATGTGGACTGGAATTGCATTTTGTGTGAAAAGTAAACAAATTAGAATTGTGTAGGATTTTGTGTTTAGTGTTTAATCTTTATATTATAATTTTTTTATAAAATGTTATTAAACATTTGTGTGAAATTTTGTCATGATTACTGCATCATTATTGAAGTATAATGAAAATGCTTCACCCATAGCCAGGTATTATTGAGCAAAGTGTTTTTACAGTAGTTCAAATATATGAAAATATGCCACTTGGAGGTACAAATATGGACTTTTATTGTTGAATTTCTCCAAATTGGTACAATAAAAATGCTTGATATTAAGTATGGTTGTAGTCTCATATGTGTAAAAGTCAAATATACCATCAGTAGCCAGGAAACACTGAGCAATATGTTTTTACAGTACCTCAAATATTGTCAAATATGCAATCTCTGGAGGCATAAATATGAGGCTTTTATTTTGGCATTTCTCCACACTGGTGCAGTATACTTGATATAAAGTGTTTTTTTTATTCATCAGGGGCGCATGAAACACTTTAATGTAACATATTTTAATTATAGCTTACTGTTCTAAATACCTTTATTTTGAACACCAGAAGTAAATACGCTGTTTCTCCGCATTTACCATAATGCTGAGAATACTTGTACACTCTAAATTTAAGTGCGGCTGATTTGACCACGGAGATCGGACTCACGGCTGGATTGACCGCAGTCTACTGCTCTACTGTTTCTTCTACACAGCACCGTCCTGTAAATGACAACATCCGGTCCCAGAATATGAAAAAACAGGCCTTTTTTCTGTTTCTGTTTTCTAGTGATTTTATTTTTTGTTATATGAAATAGAAAATGAAAATCGAATAATTTTTTTAATTTCACTCATCCCTTTTTGACCATGAAAAAGAAAAACGCCTTGTATTTCAATTTTAATTTTTGTATTTTAAAACGAAAATCAAATAACCACTCGTTTTCTGTTTTTTAAATACCCGTTTCTGAAAGGAAAATCCAATGACCAAAACATACACGGACCGTTTTAATATCTGGTGAGTTTTTATGTGACTTTCCTTCTTATGGAACCGTTGCTGAAAGTGTATGGTCTTTGTGGTATTTGTAGAAAATCAGTGGGGGAAGAAGTACTTCCTATCGTTTACATAAGTAAAAGTAGCAATATCATACTGTAGAAGTTTAACAAATAGCTTGGACCAATAATGTGTGTCTGTTTTGTTTTTTTCATAAAAAAGAAATATTTCCACATTAAAATCTAAAAAGGCATCCACTACATCTGCCTCATTAAAGATTACAAAATATATGAATATGCAAAAGTTGTTCATTTCTAAAGTTTTCCTGCTGGACACAAGATGTCTCCAACTTCACTGTGAAGTCCGTTGTCAGTGTTTGTGCACTGGAGGCTTCACGTTTCTACATCACACTATAAGTTGCATACTGGACCAGGAGTGACCAGGACTATTTGTGGCTTGTAGGCCCCGTAAAATCTTATTTCCATTGAGCACAGAGAAACTTTCCACTTTCAGTAGATGAATGTGAAATCAACGTTCTGGTGTCAAACTCAGCACATACATAAGTCAGCACAGTAAAGCTCAAACATACAACTGTAGGAACAAAAAGAACATTTTTGAATGGAGTACTCTTGATGATATAATGAATGAAGAATCGTATTAGTTACATCATTGGATTGTAATAATTGATGCATTGTGTTCATCACTTAAACATTGCAATAAACTACTTTATAAATTGCGGTGTAATCCAGTGGTTCCCAACCTGGGGGAACCCTTGGATTGCCAAGGCTTCATGGGGGGTTGTGAGGCCTTCTCGATTTTAAGGCATGTAGAACAACTGAAAAAAAAAAATCTACACAGTAGGCCTCCTCTTATCACCCTGCAATAAAAAGTATGCAGTTATAACAACTAAAGAGCTAATAGAACACTGAATTTGTCAAAAAAGAAGCCTATTAAGTTTGTATGACTGTTAAAAAATGTTTAAACATAATACACAGAATTGCATAAAATGTTCCTAAAAACATCAGAACAACTCATCTCTGATGTAACATTCACAGGAAATAATCCAAATTAATTCAAATCGCTACTTTTACACAAACTTTCTGCTGTTATTGCGTTCACTATTTACAGTTCATCAGTTGTTCTGTACTGTTATTGTTTTATATTGAATATCAAATGTAAATAAAATATGTAATTTAGTTAGGGGTCATCAACATTACTGGATTAAATATGCATTAGTTCTATTATATTTTGTATTAATAACCTGAAGCTGTAAAGACATAAATAACTAATGTTCTCAAATAAATGTATATTGTATGAAATGGAAATACTCAAGTAAAATACAAGAACCTCAAAATTGTACTTTAGTAAATTTACTTAGTCCACCAAAAGGAATCCCTTTAGTGTACTGTATATACACTGTAGTATAAAGCAGCATATTAATGTCAGTGAATGTGATACCATAAGAATACAGCACATTGCAACACATAAACATTAGGAAAACAGGTAAATAAATAATGAACAAAACAAAAAGATGTATGGAAATGAACCGTGTATCCACTGACCTTGTTGAACGGTCGGACTCTGACGGCCACTTTGACACAGTCCTTGCTGTGCATGTCTGAAGCTTTAGCCCTCATGGTGCAGCAGGCAGGTATCAGCACTGTCAGACTGTCACACTGAGTGATCAGCTCCCTCAAAGGGGAAAACGCAGGACTGTGTCGAGTTACACGCTGACAGGGACACAATCAGCCCAGTTTGGCAGGGACTACGGTGTCCATCCTGTTAGGAAATGCCTCATGAGGTTTTACTGAAAACCTGATGAAAAGAATTTCATTGACTTGCTGAAATATGGATGCGTCCGTAAACACAGTTTAAAGTAAAACAGAGACAATATTAGGTAGCCACAGCTACACACTAAACTGAAATATCATAGGTGATATTTAATGCAGCATGACTAATGCAAAGTTATTTTTTATGATAATCAGCATTTAATATGGGAAGAAATACGCTTTTATTTTTATTTTTCCCACCCTGGTGTTTTGTTAGCGGAGATAAGGCTGGTTTCGCTTTCACCTCGTCTACCAGCATAAATTATAGAAGAGACAGAGAGCCCTGGGAAATGGGATAGTCAAATTTATAAAGGGTGGTTACACATGTTTACAGCTACATTTATGTCAACATTTCAGTCCCATAAATTCACCCTAACAGCTAAATTTCTATTAACCATAAGCTGACCTGACATTTAAAAGATTCAAACTGGACGCTGGTGAAATTGGATGTCTGATATGAGGCACCAACAGGATGGAGTCTCAGCTATTTTGTGAAGGATAATTAGAGGCTTGTAGCTCCTTTCAGTGGTTCACTGCACACCTCAGACAGACAGAAAGAAAAAGGCTTTGTGGTCCAATCACCTCTCAAACTAACAAAAGACTGAATTGAATTGAGACACACTCAACACCAGGAGTAGAGAAATATTCAAGCTTTACCATATTTATCAAAGAGCAGTCATCAAAAATAAGACATTCTACATACATTCATCAGAAAATAGCCTATGTGTCAGGTGGTGGTTGCCATTAATTTAATTAAACAAGCCTATAAACATTTCCCAAAAACAATTAACTCCAAACTGCTGTGCAAGACTTTTTTTTGTTTCTTTCACACTATACAACATCCCCATGACATACAAAAAACAGTCCAAATATGATGGCAATAGTCTGCCTCTTTAACAAAAAACCCTTCAAATCGACTGATATTTTAAGACTATGGCATAGGCAGTCTGATTAGATGATCATATGCATTCCAGACACTTAAAACTTCAAAATGAACATAATTCTTTATGATTTATTTATTAATTTTATTTGGAACATAGCAAAAAACTATATACAAATGTATCAGTAGAAATCTTGTATCTCCACTGGGTTGGTTGCTTTTCTTCTTAAATAGAAAAACAGCAGGCCTCGAAATCTTAAAAGTAAACAAGAACAAAAAACAAAACAAAAACAACCTTAAAATTAAAAAAAAGAATGTAAATAAAACCTCTTCATCAAAGGCAGGTTCAGTTCAGTCTCTGGTTTTTATTAATGGGAGCTTCTAAAAGCCCAAATCGATTGCTTTCCTTTGTGCCATTCTGCGCCCAGAGAAATAAGCCGATTATAAGGAGCGTCGCACAATGTCCAAAACAAAATGGCCACAGATACAATACCAAGTGAAATCGAGTTAGTACAAGCGTGACGTGTAAACTCTAAAAATATAGTCCTCTCTCACACTGCTATCAGTGTGTTTTGTCCCAAAAATATATTTTTATGCCTACATTGCTTTTATTTTATTGTCCTACAGAGAAGTCAATGTACAAACCGCAGCACTGCGAGGCATTTGAGGAAATAGAACCATCGTGAGTTTAGGCATACACTTTTATTTGACAGCTCCTGACCGAGTTGGTTAAGACCTGGTGGCTGTCTGAGGTTCACTGGTTAGAACCACCACCAACCTCCTTAGAGTTTCTTCCTCCGTGTGACAGGTTTTGTGAAAACGGTGTCCATTATGCGCTTGCGTCGAAGGTTCATGCTTGAGGTTGGGGCCTCTCCCTCCTTAATTCTCTTCAGCGCCCGTGGGAGTGGATCAGCTGGGCTGGGCAGAGGCGAGAGCAGGTCCACCTCTGCTACGGGAGGCGGCTCCGGAACGGCTTTGGATCTGAAGGTGGGCAGAGGACACAATGATTAAGACAAATAAAAGTCATACAAATAATGGCATTTTTTTAGTAAACAGATTTAAAAACTTTGTGGTATCCCCCATCTTCGAGGTGCACAAGATGTTGTGCTTAGGGGAGTGGAACCTTACTTGGTTGTTCGTTTGCCTGTTTTTCTGGTCTTAGAAACACCCACTGCTTTCTCGACTTCTAAAGGATCGTCTTCTGAAGCAATTTCATCCTGGGACAAAACAAAAAACAAAATGTTTTATTTAAAATTAAGCTATAACCATTGCAATATGGCTATCCACTTCCATTTTAGAGCAGTGAAAATGTTTTTGTTGGTGCAGACATACCTTTCAGAAAACAGCTACCTGACTGTATTAATTTTCATTAAAACAAGGCAATCCCCCAGACACTAAAAACATTCACGTACATGCACCACACCATCACATAGTCCCTATCACACTAACCATTATACAAACAAATCATAGGCACACAACATAAAAACCAGCGAATTCATCCAGTACTATAATACTATAAACAAAGTAGTTTCCAGGATGACACTGTAATTTGGTGACCGATTTGCATATAATCAGCTAATATGATACTAGAGTGGTAGAAGTCAAAGCTAGTTTTAATCTTTTACTTTCCATTTTTGAGGAAGAATCAAAAACCCTCCACTTTGTGCAAACAATGAGCTCAACATGTTTAATGAACTGACGTACAGACATTACACTCTATACTAAACATGTGAGGCTAATAAGCAGAAGCACTTACAGGAGGAGCAACAGAGGTGTCTTTGACAACTCTTCTCCTGCTGCGAGTGACGGGCGCCGCGGACTCTTCACTCGGCCCTGGAGACTCTGCTCTATTAGCTGACACACAGACACAACACGGGTTAAAAAACGATCAGGAATAAATGGACGGACATGCAGGTTAATGGACACATGGTTCACCTCTTGTTCTTCTTCGCGAGGGGGAGTAGATGAATGAATGCTCGCCTGGACTAGACTCGTCCTCCTCGGGTTCGGGGAACAGGCTGTCTTGTAGCGAGTGATCCTGCTCCACTGACGACTTTGTAGCTCTCTTGCTGGTTCTTACCATCTTTCTAACAACGACGCCTCCTGTAAAACAAAGAGTTTACGCATTCATGTCCATACAATAAAACCTCTTTATTTTATAGCAGATGTAGGGTGTTGTGCAGCTCTATACGCACCTTCCTGCTTCTCTTCCTCATCCTGAAGTCTCTTAATGAGGGCGTCTGCGACAGGGGTTTCAGAATCCACCTCCAACGGTGAGTCCAGTAAGGGAAGGTCTTCCTCAGGGTGATCCCAGAGTTTGCTTCTGGTTGGTCGAAGGGAGTTGGTGCGACCGGTGTTGCTGTTCAGTTCAGGCTCAAGCAGAGCTTCACTTTCATTTATATTTTCAGTAATCAACTCTGCTCTCTTCTTCCTTACACTCTGAGGAAGTGATACAGGAACCAGTTTCACCTGCGAGTGTTAAATGTTTTCAGTGATTGCCAGCGGATGGATCAGGTTGATCAACATGTAATGCGAAATAATGTATAATGGATGAAAATATAACCGTGAAAATGAAAAGAGGTAAAACTAATAATTTTATGTCTAACATACGAAAGAGAAAGGTCACCTGGTGGTTTAACATCAAACATAAATAGCCTCTTAACATCAGATGATGATGATGATGATGATCTATGAAGCTTTACATTCTTGATATATTAATATAAAAAAAAAATGTAATCCTTACTTGTGGATAAACATTCAGGGTGATCCGGTTGGACTGCCGAGTCGACCTACTGGGGCTGGAAACTCGTTTTTTGCTCTCTTCCTCCTCCATCAGGGCCGGCTGGGTCTCTGACGATTCGGTCTTAGATTTCCTGGAGTTGCGTTTGGCAGGGGATGCAAACACTTCCTCCTGTTCCTTCTCTTCTTTCAGGATCTCTAATGGCAATGGCACCACCTCACTGCTACTCAGTATCCTCCGGCTGGACCTCCTCGGAGTGCTTGCCTGAGCGGTCCTGCGTTTAGCCGGTGTGGGAGTCTTGGAGCTTGTTCGTTCTGAAGCCTTTGTATCTGTGGCCTCATCCTCACCCTCTGTGGCTGCAGACACCTCCTCACTGCCACTTTGGCTGGCCTTAGTTGAAGGTGCCTTCTGGGAAGCCCGTCGTCTACCTGGAGAAGAAGCCTTGGAGGTTGATGCAACCGTGGTGTCATTATCCATGGCCTCCTCCTCTTCAACAGGCTGAGTTTTGCGAGTAGTTCTTCGAGGTGTGCTAGCTCGGACTTTGATCTCTTTGTTCTGTTTACCTTTTCTAGGTGTACGACTAGGTGAGGCAGGGGCCAGAGTGCTTGTTTCTGCCTCCTCCACTTTCCCATCCTCCTCTGCTTCCTCCTGCAGCGGAGAGATAAAGGTAACTGCCCTCGCTCTTGTGGTTCTCCGTGTTGGGGTGGAAGGAGCTTTCTTTTTCCTCTGGGAAGTGGGAGTCTCTGGCACAGGCTGCTCCTCCGGCTGGCTATTTGACACAGGTTTCTCTTCTTCAACTTCTTTGTGTTTTCTCGGCCTTCCCCTCTTTTTTGTTTCTTTCTCTGTCTTAATTTCTTCCCCGTTATCCTCTTCCGTCTCTGCTGGGATTATGGGGTCCGGCTGCTTCTCCTCCACAACAGTCGCTGTCTCAACACTGGGGGCAATCTCTGTGTCCATATTAACAAGCCCATTTTTTTCAGGCTCTTCCTGGTCCTCAGCAGGTGTTGGTTTGACCTCCTCCTCCTCCTCCTTCTCCCCCTCCTCCTCAATCTCCTCCTTCTCCCCCTCCTCCTCAATCTCCTCCTTCTCCATCATCTTCTCTTCAGCTGCATCTTTCTCTGCCACAGAGTCTTTGTCATCCACAACTGCTGGAAGTTCTTCCACTGGAGTTGGCTCACAGACCGAAACACCAACAGGTTCCTGGTCTTCAGCCAGCATGACTAACTCTGTATCCATCTGTTCTTTAGCATCCTCTGTTTCATGGTTTTCATCAGTGTTTTCGGTTTGTAGGACAGCTTGGTCATCGAGATTTACAAGTTCTGTCTCTGTCAGTCCATCTACTTCAGCTCCATCCAAGATGTCCAACTCTTTCTGCTGGTCCTCTTCGGAGGCTCCTTCAGACAGGAGAGGATCCTGATCATCTGTGCCCAAAAGAATAACCTCAGGTTTGGTCACAAGTTCATCACTAGCCTCCACTGCTGGAGAAAGGGTGGGAGGGTCGGAGAATTGCAGATCATTCTCCATAGGTTGTGTGTCTGCATCTTTATCCCCGTCTTCTTCCATATCGAGCATCAGAGAGAAGCCACTGTGAGTTTCAGACCTTGGGTCATCTGGCACAACGGCTTGCGGAAGCTCAGGAAGACCCAGCTGAGAACTGGCCATCAGGCCGGCCTGTCCCTCCATGAGCTCCAGGGGTACCAGGAGAGTGGTCGATGGCTTGAGCTCCATGTATGATGATCCTTGCTCTTCAACCTCATCTGCCTCCATCCCTCCTTCATCTGCACCCAGTCTCACCATGACCACCTCACCCTCCATGTCCTCCTCTACCATCTGTAATGGAGCCAACATGCAGGTTGCAATAAATCAATTAATAATTTAGTCTATAAAACATCAGAAAATGCAGCAAATGTCACAATTGTCCAGAACCTAAGGTGACATCTTTAAATCAGATATTGAGTTTACAATATAATACAAAACAAAGAAAAGTAGCAAATCCTGGCAAATGATCAACTAATCAATTAATTGACCAAAACTGATTAATAACTGCAGCTCTTCATTTGTTACCTTCATCTCTGCACCGGGCGTGATAAGCGGGAACTCTGGTGCCTCCTGCTCTGACAGACTTGACAGGAAGTGTGTGTGTTGCACAAAGACTGAACTGGGTTGGAGGGGTGGCAGCCTCCCATTACCCTGGACCTCCTCAATGATTTCAACCTCGCTACCAGAGTCCTCCTCCTCCTCCTCTGCTTGATCAGACTCCTCCTCATCTTCTTCTTCCTCTTCAGACATAGGGCTAGAAAGCTCTTCACTATCGTTTAAACTCACAACAGCTAGAAGATAAAAAGAAAGAAAATGAGTACAATTTCACTGTAACAGTAAGAGCGGCCGTGTTAACGTGCATTTGTGGACAATCTTCCTTACAGTGGGAGTCTGTGCCAGTTGGCTCGGAGGACGTCACAGAGGCAATAGATTTCTGGCTGGTGAACACGGGGGGAGGTTCAACAGCTGCCGGCTCCTCCTCTTCAACCTCACCTAATGACTCACTGGGAGAATGACATCATTTTAACTTGTGTTTTCTATCAGATGCTTATCTGTTTATTTTGTTTTTCACAAGGTTACACAAAATGTTCATCACTTAAAACCCAATCCCATATTTATTGTGATATGGTATAATGTCAACTCATTGACAAGGTCTGTGACCTAAAAGGTTTGTATTAAATTCTAACATAAATGTTTTAATCTAAGTGAAACTATTAAAGTAATTATTGTTCCCTGGGTGCATTCATGTTTAAAAAGACCTACAAATCAAAACAAGAACGAGGTTCTCCTCCTGGCTTCATCAAAAGCCTGGGTGGAAAAACTGTCTGATTATTTCTATCTAATATACAGTTCACAGTTAGAGTTTTGAGGGTTTTTAATTAAACAATGTGGTGTCACAGTAAAGAGATTTCTTTCTTCTTTTAGTAAACAGGGCGCATACCTGTTGAAGAATGTCTGGGTCTGTGATGCGTTGTGGATTCCTGAGCGGGTAAGCGGAGGAGACAGATCACCGCCAAACAGATGTCTCTGCACAAACTCTGTCAGATCTGTCAGACAATACAGAAGAATCATCTACAGTAAGTATGAAGTCAATCATTAAAACCTTGTTATGGTTGGATAATGTAATATTTCAACCTACAATGATAAGAGTGTCAGAAAAGCAGAAATGTGTATTCAAAGAATCATAAGACATACAAGAAAGACAGAGATAAATAGGCTATCTACAATAATTACTTGTTAGTTAGCTTAGGCTTACTTCCTGACAAGCAAAACCAAACTGCTAGCCTAATTATGCTATGATTACTAGATTTTATGTAGATGCAATGCAACGACAATATCTTAAAGTTTTACAGTATAAATGCATCATTTAAGGTTCTACCTGCTGATTGCTCCAGCTCCTCTTCTGGTTCATACGTGGGTTCAGTGGCTCCAGATGGTTTCAGACACTCAATGAACTCAGTGGATTCAGTGGCCTCTGACTGGATGTCCTGTCCCGTAGCCTTCACAGGTTGATCCTGAGATTCGACCTCAATGCCAGAGTTGGCCCTCTCAGTTACCTGGTCACAAACTAGTCGCATACAAAATGTGTCAAACAATGTTTTAAAGAAGTGTGGCAAAACACAATTTTTAACACATATTATTTCTGAAAATCTAAATATCAGAGGATAGGACATGTTTGGTGTGAAGCAACCTCTAATAAATAATATAAAGTTGTAGAGAAACAAATAGAGCAAATTCTGCAAATGAATTACCTTGATTGTGACTAAAGGTCTCCTCTTGGTCAAGAGTTGCAGCATCTTCTTGTTTGGTGCTTGACTCAGCATCCTGTTTTTCCTCCTTTTCAGACTGAACCTCTTCCTCTGTTTTATCCTCCTGTTCTGACTGAACCTCTTCCTCTGTTTTATCCTCCTGTTCTGACTGAACCTCTTCCTCTGTTTTATCCTCCTGTTCTGACTGAACCTCTTCCTCTGTTTTATCCTCCTGTTCTGACTGAACCTCTTCCTCTGTTTTATCCTCCTGTTCTGACTGAACCTCTTCTTCGGTTTTATCCTCCTGTTCTGACTGAACCTCTTCTTCGGTTTTATCCTCCTGTTCTGACTGAACCTCTTCCTCGGTTTTATCCTCCTGTTCTGACTGAACCTCTTCCTCGGTTTTATCCTCCTGTTCAAGACCAATCTCCATCACGTCCTCAAATATTTCGTCGTCTTTCGCCTCCTCTTCTTCCCTTTCTAGATCCTCTGATGTCAGGAGAGGAGTCTGCTCAATGATGGGTGAGGGTTTTTCTTCTGGTTCCCCTTTTTCAGTTAGGCCTCTGATGTTCATCGTCACTACCTCATCTTTTTTCTCTGGATCTGTATGCTCTTCTTCCTGCTCTTCTGAAAGAGGTGCATCGTAGTACTCTAGAGTGGTGTCTGTTGAACGAACAGGCGTCTGGCTGGAATCGAAGCTCAGGCTAAGTTGTGCGTGCGTTGCATCTGATGGTCTGCTGTCTGCAGCATCTTTGTAGATGGAGGATGACTCGCTCTCAAAGCATCTCAGTTGTGGCGAGGGTACACCACCTTCTGGAGGCATGAATTTTACATGAGATTGTTCCCCTTCCTCATCTCCCTCCTCTTCTTCCTCAGCAGGCTGCAATGACCAGGTCTCACGTGTAGCCTTGGATAGTGTGGAGCCTCTGGCCAGCAGGCTAATCTCACTTTCTGCTGCCATCTAGAGAGAAGCACAGTTCCAAGGAAGATTGGAAGACACATTTTATTATAAAGACAAAATCTAACCTACCAGCTAAACAACGAGGAAGATAACTGATGGGTAAGAGGTGCAGATACAGACCACTAACCACAAATAAGCAGCTTAAGAGCAATGTGATAATTAGCTAGTAAATCAGTTGATTATTGTAAATTGTACTCCTAAAATGAATAAGAAGCTTTAAAAAAAAAAAAAAAAAAAGGTACCATGTTTAAAATAACTTTTAGAAACCAATTATTGGCCAGAAGAGAGTGTTTTGTTTGTTTCTTTGTGCATTTTTGCAGAGTCAATACACCACTCCTATCTTTGTCTTACCCCATTGGTCCATCGGATGCCCTTCTCTGGTTCTGGAGATTCTGCCTCTTCAATGAAAGTGATTCGACTTTCTTTGCTGCGGAGTGGGGGGGTGATGGATCGTCCTGGAGAAGCAGAAGGGGTGGCGACCGGAGTGGGCCTCAGGCTGCTGCGCAGGATGGACTGAGGAGTGAAGGCTGAGAACACAGGGCCAGAAGCAGCCAAAGCCCGAGCTCGCTGAGAGAGCAAATCAGGTAAAGTGTAAGTGAAAAAATACCAAAATGCTCAAGGAATGCAAACTCATTTATTAAGAAAATAAACCACATAAACAACATTTGACTTATTTGGATGTCCTGACTAAGTGTTAATGAAATTGAATTAACTGTATTTCAAAGCCTCACCTTGACAACTTGCGGTGTTTGCAGCAGACTGAGTTCAGGGGCCTTGCTGGTGCTCTTTGGAGAAACCCAGGAGCTGGGAGGTCTGGGAGGGCTGAGGAGAGTTCGAGGAGTCTGACAGGAGGGGTGAACGACGAAGTCCATCAGCCTGCGTCACATAGAACACGAAGAAGGAACGCAAAGACTTAAAGGTGCTGTCTTAAATAAACTCTGCTGCTCTGCGGTGTATTTGTTGAAAATACAATATACTACTAATAACTAAGTTTCTTACAGTGAGGTCTCTCAAAATAGTATATCAGTACTGTGGAAATTTGACTTATACCCTTTAAGAGGGTATTACTAAATGTAATTAATTTAGAAACACTTAGTTAATTTTCATATCTTTATGACATTAAGATCAAACTACTTGTATTCTAAAGTCTGCTTATGGCAAAGGCTTGCATGAGATTACCTTGACTTTCGTTTGGAGGTCATGGTGATAGGAGTTCCCAAGAAGGGGTCAGGAAGGGCTAAAGAGGGCTTGGGGCTCTGAACATCAGCTACCCTGGGGCTGGCAAAAACAAATTGACAAAGGGTTAGAAAATAATCATATAAAACAAAAGAATAATTACCTCTAAGGATCAGTTAGTTATTTTCTGCTCACCTCTTGACTGGGGTGGACTGTGGTGAAGCTCCTTTGCCTAACCAAACCTCCTCAATCTTGGTCAGAACATTGTTTATGAAGCCGGCCCTCGACATCACCTTCTCATTGGTAGAGCGTTTGGTGATGGTTGACAGTGGCTGCGGCCGAGAAACTGAAGCACAGTGTGTAAACATGTTATTTATATTCAATCAACAGTGTTTTTTTAAGCCGTTGAAAAATACAGACACTGTGTTCGTTTGTTGGTTGCAACTACAGGGTTTGTTTTTTACCAGTGTATATGATATGGAGCCATGTTTTGGAACATACTAAGCAAGTGATTGTTCAAGTGTGATTTGAGAAGTTTCTATTAACACCCTCATACTTTTTCCTGCTGTGAGAATATTGGGGTAAACCGTAATAGATATGAATTCAAGTTGAGCCCCTCCTTACCTTCTCTGTGGATGGCATAGGGATGCTGGTAGGGCTTGGCTTTTTCCATCGCCAGCTTTCTCTGGACTCTGGGCAAAACCTTGCCATACTGATCCAATATAGAGTTCCTGGTGTTGGATCGTTCTTTAAGTTTTGGGTCTCGCTCATTCTAGGAGTAAAGACATAAGAGACTGAAATCTTGTGGGATTTAAGTATCTTCGCTCAATAAAACAGCATAGTGATGGACTGTTCATAGTTGGATATTGTGATTTCAAGTTTAGATGTCTAAATTGATGACAATTCATTAGTACGTCCGATTCTGAATTCTTTAATAAATATCACACACTATATATCAAGATAAAACTGTGATAATTAACGTAACAGTTTACATGCGTGTGTCAGACATACCACCAGGTTCATTTTGAGGCTGTGGTTGAGCTGCAGGGCAGGAATGTAGTTGGCCTGCTGAAGGTAATGAACCATCAGCAGTTCTCTGTTTTGGAGACCCCCTGTACCCTGGAGGAACTTCTCCAAACATTCCTGAAACGCAAACCCAAGAACCTTGAGTTTTAGGCACTGACTTTATAATCCAAAAACACAAAGAAAGTTTAATCTACAAGCAGAATAATGAGGGTTAGGGTTTAAACCAATGTAACCATGCAGTCACTCATCTCTCTCCTACCTGCTCAGTGAGGCCCAGGGGCAATTTGAGCAGCTCCTTGATGAGGCCCAGCTCCTGGCAGCTCTCATAGAGGAAGCCCAGCAGCTCACCCATGTTGAGGCGATTAGAGTGCTGCCGAACTAAGGACCACGCCTCTATGAGACACCTGGAAGAAGGGCACACCATTAACTATTTAAAAAGCTGCCATCGGATTGCCATCATGCTTGTTAGCTAAAACAAAAAGCCACTTTTCTTGTCCACGTTTCACAGCTGCAAACCTTACCTATTGTGTAGCAGTACAGACAGGCAGAGTTTGGCCTGGGAGGTGGAGGAAATTGGTGGCTTCGTAACGTGGAAGTATCGTAGTGCCACTGAGTGTTGGCCCTGGCACATCAGTGCTTGCAGGACACGCTCATGCTGCCACTCAAACTGACACTGAGAGGCAGCTGGATGCAGGAGCAGCTCAAATGAACTCTGATCAGGACAACAGACAAGGGATGGTGATGATGGACATAAGTAGAAGAGTTACAAGAGGAAGTAATAGCTGTATATAGTATCAATGTTTATAAGGTAAATGTTTTAAATATGCAAATAATGCTGCCCCATTCCCTTTAAATACAACAGGGCTACTTTGTATTCAAATTTAGGGAAATATAAAGTCAGTCAGATGTATGCATACCTGGTGGTCATGATGGTCCAGTAGCCAGAGGCCTTGTACTAGTTTCACAAGTCCAATTGGGATGGCAAAAGCTGTGGGGAAAGACTCCACTGATGCTCCCTCCTTATTGGGGAAGGAGTACATGACATCCAGCAACAGGTAAATCACCTGGGACAACAGGTCAAGGCTCATACATGTAGTCTTATAGTAGGCTTATTTTAGTATTTAGTATTTTAGTATGTACTCACATACAAGGAATTTGCTTTGGTAAATTGGTGCATAACAATAAACATAGAAAAATATAAATAAAGCTAAAAATAGAGACAATCAGGAGAGAAAATGTGTATAACATGACTGTAATTTAAATAAACTATTTGTAACAATAAGAAATCCACATTTACAACTGTGACAGAGGTTACTAGCTTGTAAATTGCCCAACATTAAACACTACAACTGTATAGCCACAGCCACAAAAACTATTTTAAGCAAATGAAAAGCTGAAAAAGCAATCCCTGAATTCACAAATAAATACTGGAGCTGACCATGGCTGACATGAACATGACTTTGCATTTGGCCATTATTACTCAAAGGATACAATTGCATGTTTGGCAGCTTCATCAATATTGTCCAGCAGATAAATGTCCAACAAGGCCTGTGGATCAATAAAATTCATTATTTACACATAAATTAGATGGTACAAAATCAATTAAATTAAAAATAAAGTTTAATGCTTACATGCAATGTAGGTGGTGGGTATTGCCCTGTCCCACCGTCGTCCCTTTTCCACAGGTTGGTCAAGCGTTCACCACACTGCCTGACCAAACCGTCAATCATCAGGCAGTCTGCACACCACTTGCCCCTGAGAAGACAACAGCAGAGTGTCAGCATTAGATCGGACATATGTCATTTTAACATCTTATTGGCTCTACTATTGCTCAAGAAGTAAAGATACTGGTTAGCTGAAGTCCAGAATTTGTAATATGTGTAAGATTTAATTGCTTTCAAGCTAAAACTACTCACTTAGCCAGCCTGGTGAGCTCCTCTCTGCGTATTGTATAATAGTTGCTGATGACTGAGTGAGTGTAGAATGGCCTGGAGATCTGGAGAGCGTCATTGTCTGGTGAGGAGAGAAAGAGAAAATAAAACTGAATATAGTGATATTCAGAAGTTTGACAACCCCTTAACAAACTGTATGCTCCAATAATATTTACACACTTGAACAACACACATTTTTGCAGATTTTAATATGCTTTTACAATTTTGCTACATTGCACAACGCTTCTAGTTTCAGAATATCTCTAACCCGAGTGTTATTCCACCTGCTTACAAATTGTTCACTCACTGACTCAGAGTAATTGTGTTGTTTGAAATTGCTGGTAAGGTTTCCCAGACCACGTTTATGCCAGCAACACTTTACCTGATCCTTCAGGCAGCAGACCGGTACGACAGAACCAGAGCACCACCTGAGCGTACTTGGAAATCAGACTGGACACCATGTTCTTGTTCATCAGACCCACCAGGCCTAGACAATGAAAAATATAACCATAACTTATCAGTAACTATAAATGACACAAAACGACAGCTTGTCAGTTGCTTGATCAAATCAAAGTTTATTTAACCATAAAGCTATAAGATGCTAAATATCATCATTTTACTGACATCAACAGACATAAAAAAAAACCCTTGGTAAGAGTGTTTGATTTTAGTTCAGCAAAAATTTTTATTATTGACATTACAGTGTGTTTGTGTTGGCTGAATCTATTTCCACTGACATCATAGGGGAAAATAACACTTGCACATGTGATTGTATCTGTGTGGATATTGCACCTTTTTGTGTGAGCTCCTGAGCTTCACTGAGCAGACAGTGAAAGATGGTACTGAGGTTACCGAGCAGCCTCTGGCTATGCTGTAGCAGCTGCATGGTCTGAGGATCTGTGAAGTTGGATGAGCTGTCAAACAGCGGAGCACCTGGACACACACACACACACACACACACACACACACACACACACACACACACACACACACACACACACACAATAAATAAATGTATTAATGGAAACAAACTTGTAAAGGGAATGTATATCACTTAAATAATGAATAATTTACAGTGTCAAAAAAGGAGGCAAACATTTCCTATTGTTGGTAATCTTAAATAATACTGTAATGTAAAGGTCTGACTTATCAGCCTGAAGAATTAATTTACCTTGCAAACAGGTCATGCAAATATATCTGATCTAATCCATTTAAATCATCTGGGTTATCTTATCTTATCACTGGGTAACATTAAACTTCTGGCCTGTCTAAACAATGTTCTATATAAGTCTTTCAATTAAAAAATAAATAAATAAATAAATAAAAATACATACAGATGCCATCCAGTTCCTCCTTGGTCTGGACTACTTTGTTCCAGGCCCAATCCAGGATGTAGCGCAGATTCAGTGCAGAACCTGGTTGTTCTGTTGAAGACAATTACAAGCATTAGAGATGACTGCAGGGCTGGTGGCTGCGGTAGGTTTGTAGAGGAGCTTAGAAAGGCTTTTAAGTACTACTTCTGCGAGATGAAGCCACATCTTTAGCACCTACATGCTGTTATGGGTAAAATGGGTTTAGGTCAGTTAGAGAAACAATCTGACAGATACTCCAAATATGAATCCTCACCTTCTGCAGTCCACTGCTTGATGCAGCCTGTGATCAGTCCCAAGGAGCTGGTCTCCACTGCTGTGGACAAGATGGCATCCAGTTGCTCCTCCTAAAAGCCCCCATCAAGTTACATGTACAAATTACTATGAGAACTTACAATATTTGATTTAATTCTGTATATTGTTTTGTAGCATTAGAAGAGTAGATTTTCTTAAATGTGAAGTATAAGAGGGAGAAGAAAAGCATGAATAACGGTGGCTTTGTGGGTCTGTGTGAACAAGTATGTATGTGTACCTGAGAGAGGCTGGAGGCTTGGGTGTCAGCCAGGCGAGATGAGAGTAGACCGGACATGAGGCAGCGGGAGTAGCTGGTGGAGATGATGTCACTGGAACAAGGAGCAGCTTTCTTCAAAAAGCTCAGGGTCTGGTGTTAATGACAATGGCGAGGTGTTGGTAAAAGAAGCCTACTTTCCATTTAAATCATATTCACATATTTAAATCCAGTCTACATGGTAAATATTGTGCAGCCGTAGTGATAAACATCTCATCTCATGCTCGTTCCAACACAAGAATACACAATGAAAAGGCTAAATATTAAAGAAGAAAACCCATTTACTAAAATACAAACAGTTTGAAGTCTGTCTTTGCATTTACATAGTCACATTATCACTTCTTAAAATCTGAATTTGGACATGCTAATAAATGAATGGTGAGGTAAACATTTGTATCACATTAAAATGAACACAGGGAACTTGCCTCTTTCTGATACCCAGAGCATGTTAAGTGCACAATTCCAGAGTTGAGCAAGCAGGTAGCATCTGTAACATGAAAGGAAAAACAGTCTATCAATTTTATTAGTAAAATAATATTTCAACTACAAACTAGGGGCATGTCTGCACACGCAAACTCATGAGCAATATAAACAGGCAACAGCAATACACAAGCATGGACCCTGGCAAAAATTAAAATAGATAATTCAAGCCTACATTGCATCATGTCTCTAAAGAATCTCACATTTAGACTATTTTACATATAGTGTCTACACCTACCAAAGTTATAGGTGGTGGGGTTAAAATACTGTTCCGGTGGGGGGCAGGTGAAGGGCAGGCCCCTGCTCAGGCTGCGGTCATGCACCGCCACATCCAGGAGGGGGTGTGAAGACACCATCTGCACCACTGGGTCCAGAGACCAAACTGCCAGGTACGGACAATTCTGCAGAGACTCCCCCGTTCTGACAACAAACAAGTGAAAGGCACTGTCAGGTTTGAATCAAGCAATCATTAGAACAATGCCAGGAAAAGAGGACACAGTGACTACTTAAATGGTTTCAGCAGTACCCAAAAGATCTACTTTCTGTTTCTCTTTTGTTTTTGAAATACATTTGTCAATCAGGTGGTCAGCCAAAGAGAAGTTCCATTTTATTTTTCATACACCTACATGGGAATCTTTATATTATTATAATATCTAGGTTTCCTCTCTGTCAGAAACCAAACATTTACAGTATACTACATGTTGTGCATGTATAGCTGTTCTAATTGCTGCCCCTTGTCTGATGTATTCCTTCAGTAATACATACATTTTCAATGGGTAATTCATTTTCTGTAATGTTTATTTATTTACTATGAAATACTGAAATAGTTCAAAAAGTTAAATTATTGGAAATTATTAGCAAAATCAGTCTCCATTATACCTTAAAGAGTCTGGCATTTGTGCGTGGTACCAACGGTTGATGTCAAAAACCCCAATGAAAGTAGATGGAGTTCCCTGACCATAGGCTTTCACTTGCCAGCTGAAGATGGACACACTGGTGTCTGGAGATGCAACTGAAAAGGAGAAAAAGTATAGGTAAAGTGAGATAACAAAGGCAGGTAAGAAATAAGAGAAACAAAGAGCTGGACTGTTCTCCATTATGTAGTAGAAGCGGTTTTATTCACAGCACACAATGGTATAACCTTTATACCATTACTATGACAACACAATGTACAAGCAAACAGTATTCCAATTTGACTATAAATACTAAAAACATGCACGGATTATTAGTTCATATCTTCCACAGGCAGTCTCAAGAGAAGAACACTAACCTTCATTCATGCTGTCATCCCTGTCAGGATGGGGTCTAAACTTCTCGATGGTCTGGCAACTCAGTAGGCGAATGTTGGTGGCCTGGGCCCTAAGAGGAAAAGCGGTGCCATTTAACTCCTGACTGTAACGTTCCTCACAGTACTCCAGACCCTGAGTGACAGAAAGGAGAATAAACCAAGGAGGTTAGATTTGCTGGGACTGACAGGACCAGCAATGTAAATAATTCATTAATTAAAATGAATAGACAGTAAATATTGTTGTAATCATGTATGCACTAAAGACCTCATAGAGGATCTTCCCAGATGCTAGACACTTCCTTTCACTGAAGGCCAGCTGAAGCAGGTGGAGGCTGACCATATCTCCCTCGCTGTGTGGGAGTGAGAGGAGGTAGAGGACAAAATAAGAGCTTGGAAAATAAACACAAACCAAAAAAACCCACTTTGCCTGGATGGAGTATTTGTTACATATAAGACTTACAGGTCCTGAGAAGACTGGACAGCCCAGAGGTAGCAACAATTCCTGGGGTCGTTTTCTGGCTCCTGGAAGGTGAAAGCATGGACAGGCACCCTGCCACCCTCTAACTGGGAGTGGTATCTACGCATAAAAAAAACATTTATACAGATATATACAGATACAGTAAATGCAATTATCAGTGGTATACGATTACATTATATTTGTAATTGCTGTTTATAAATTCAAAGGAAACACAGACTCTTTCCAACTACTGTTGACAATACAAGTAAAATTTACTCTACAAGACATACAGTGGTAATGCAGTGTGCCTTATTTTAAGGAATTAAAACCCACATATCTTCCCTGCCCTTCTTCCCCACTTTCACAAAATATGGACGTCAGAAGAAATACGAAGACTCACTCCTTCTTTAGAACCTTCATGTTCCACAGCTGTAAGTATCCGTCAGAAAATCCCACTGCCAGCTGGTTGGTCCTGGAGATGTACTGCAGAGCTGTGGCTCCAACTCCACTGGGCCCATTCAGCTGGAGACAAAGATGTCTGCCCTGCCTGGTACTGACTTCTCTAAGCCTGGGGATCTCTGCAGGAGACTTGGTCACTACCTGCAGGTCTGGGAATAGAAAGTAAATAAAGAAGATGGTTTTTAGTTTTTAGATGAAAAGTCAAAGTGTGTGGCAGGAAAAACAAAATAAGCAATCCTTTACTAATTTACACAAGGAACACCTACAATGGACCTCTAGGTATCAGTATACAGTATAAATATTCCCCCCCCCACATGCTGAGCAGAATAGGGAAAACTATCCTCTTCCAAAAAAGATTAAGAGCAGTTTGTAACAGACAGAAGACAAACAAAAACCACATGCATAAGCATGCAAATACATATAAACCCAACGCTTCCTCATGCAAACTCCTCACCTGAAGCCTCCAGTTCACTTTGGCTGCAGGACAGGTCGTCGAGACAGAGGTCCACAAGCAGAACATGACCAAGATCTGTTACTACAGCAGCAATGCCAAAGAACCAGCGCAGGCTCTGGTGAAGATGCTGGGTCGAAGTGCTTGCTCCGCCATAGCTCACTAATGGCTCAATGGCTGTAATCTAGACAACAGGGAGGGTTGAAAGAAGACAAGAAAAACAGATGCTGTTCAGGCTTTGATGGATAGGCTAGGCTGCAGTAGGCAAACGTTGGCTAAATGAGGTAAGTGTATCAGAAAGTTTAATCTAAATAATTAGTCTTAGTACTTACTTTTTCTTAAATATAAATCTCTATTTCAATACCCACTGACACAAAAAGCTGCTAATGTAAAGCAAAAGCTACATTTGGCTCTCCCAGGAGCAATGCTTATAGTGAGAATGTTAAACTGTTAGCTAACATGAAGAAATATTGCAGGCTGTAAATGGTTTGTTGCATTCATTGTAAAGACATGAACATTTGCTGAGTCACTTACAACACAAAGACATAATTCTTAATGTCAGCAATGAGAAACATTATTTATCCTTGAGACTGCTCAATCAGCTAAACCAGCGATTTAGCGACAGTTAAGAGTAGAGGTGCCCCGGGTACACAGCCAACTCACCCTGCCAGGTATAACCACAGCTTTGACCACCCGTGACAGTCCCAAGTCATAGAGACACAGCACGCTGCCCTCTGCTTCCTCCAAGCCAACCAGCAACCCAGACCTAGTAAATAAAACAGTACAGAAGTTAAGTTTGAGATGTCCTCAGCAGCACCGTCATTTAAAAATCTCTCTTTGTAGAAGCACGTAATTCTTGTAACTTGTAACTGTTGTTGACTATCACTCATTACAAATTTGACATGCGTCTAGTAGTTTGTTTTCTTTTATTACAGTCCGTCATTGAGTGATAACAACATAAATAGTGAAATATAGTACTGACCTTTTGAGCCAGCTGAAGTCCCTGGCAGCTAGGACACTGGGTGGGTGCTCGCCTCCTCCACTGAAGCAGTACGCAGACAGCCGTTCTCCTGTCACAGCATGGACAACCTCCAGATGGGGGCCACAGGCCAGCCAGGCCAGCCCACTGCGGCCTTCACACACACACACACACACACACACACACACACACACACACACACACACACACACACACACACACACACACACACACGAAAGGTTATGGTCTAGGTTTTTTCACAAAAAGACAACAAGTGACCTGCAGCCAGCTGTTCCTAAGTTAAAAGCTAAATAAGTGATTATGTGGAATATTCCAGCATTATGTTTTTCAAGACAATGGTGTATATACTGCATGAACTCCTAAACTTATTTCTCAACTAGGAAATCTGAAAAATGTATTTTATTCACTGTGAATTGGCAAAAAATGAATTCCAGATATTAGACAAAAATGACAACAGATTTTTTAAAATGTTTTATTTTGATATTTCTTAAATAACTTAAGATGCCTCGACAATTTCTACTGCTTTAAAGAAAAATACTGAATATAGAATTGGTCACGTTGCCTACCTGGGTGTTATAAATACTTCAATGTGTTTATTTTGCTCATTGAGGGAGTAGTGACGATGTGTTTAAATCTTCAATTTGTCAGCGCTACTAAGGATGGAGGGAAGAAAAATTCATTCATAGAGCTCATTGATCGTAAAAATAGACTTACCAACAGTGAACTTCCCATGTAGTACAGAGTCTAGGGTGATCTCATCCTCCCCCAGAGCATCTATAGTCACGCCTGGAAACGGCAGCAGGCTGCTGGTGACTTGGGCAGTCAGGTCATGCATTGTTCACTGTATAAACAGGACATACAATAACGTAGTTAGTCCATTTACCCTTCATTAATAATTTCCTAAAAATGCTGCAAAATTATTGCTAAAGTTATGTGGTCAAAATATAATTTTATTTGTGAATATCACCCTGCCCTTGATACTTTCTCACTAATTAAACATCAGTAACTGAGAGTAAAATGAGAACCTGTGAAACACTATTTCTAAACCCCTCCTACTCCATAAATCTACTTCAGGCTTTATCTGCTCGGCTGGGTTTTACAGTACAAAAGAGGTCTTTCTTTCAAACACACAGTTGCAGCCCCAGTTGTCACCAAATGTACCGTCAGCAAACTTGCTGACAACTGGGGCTGCCACTGAGTTTGAGTTGTAATCAACAACACATCGGTTTGCAGACGTGAGTACTCACAGTGGGTTCTGATTAAGTGCATGAGTAAAGCACTATTTGAATCATTGGTCAAAGAGGTTTTACCCTGGGTTGATTTCTAATTACTCTTGTTATGTTATTACCCTTATTGACCCAATTCTGTAAATGTTTATGTTGTCCCCCTGCCTTGCACCAGTGTTTCAACAAGATAATGTTATCTCCAGCAGAGTGGTATACACGGTGCTTTCACGGCCAACTCAAACTGAATGGAAATTTCTTTGCTGTTTCTTAGCGTGCAAAAACAGGACACAATACTGCCCTCTATGACCACTCTGGAAAACACAGTGAATTCAAGTGAACTCCCGCGCAACCAGCCTGTCAGTACGCAGCCACATGCCACGACGTGAGGTTGAACATGTTCGACCTATTACAGCAATCATCAACTAAACAAGCCAAATGTGTGCACTGAAGGGTGTCGCCACATTGTTACAGACTATTGACAGAGGCAACGATTTCACAGCAGCAAAGAAGCCGATTTAAATAACAAATCTAACTTCAGTAAATAAAAAAATCTAGCGCTCACGTGTCAATATTTGCAAAGGTCTGTGAGTGACAACCGATCCCATTTGTGACTCACAACTTTACACAACACAGGACAACTTTCAAATGTGCTCGTCAGACGTATGAGACATGAGTTAAAAGTTACAATCACACGTTTAACAAGCTAATGTTAGCTCATTCGTTAGCATGTGCTGAGTCGCTGAGCTAGCCTGACATAATGTAAACAAACAGTGGATCGCTTTCTTTATTCAACGTAGTGTAAAGTGCAGTTACACACAGTGCCGGGGAATGACATATTACACATACGCTAACCTTATTTAGTGCTAAATGATGACTCGGTCGCTGCTTGCACACTTTCATGAGTACATTAGCAAGCTACCCAGTTAGCTTGCAAGGTCATGCAGGATTACAGTTTATCCGAGTTCACCGTTAAAGTTAAGGCTAACTAACGTTAGCTATATGCATAAGTTACATGAACATGGGGGTGACAATATTTATTTTACGTTGTGCCTGCTGTTTAGTTATTTGATTTGTGCTACAACAGTCCACAACGTGGATTAACATTTAATCCTAAAGTTAGTTTAATCACCAGAAGAATAACCAGCTCGTTAAAACAAAGTCAGGGTGGCTAGCTCGGCTCGACTGAGCTAACTAACGTTGAGCTATAGCGACTGCTGGCGATGATGTTAGCGAAGCAGTAGCTACGTTAGTTCTTGTGCGACCCACTTTTAAGGCTGGCGACCAAGACTATGGTTTGTATTTTACCTGAGCACACATCATATTATAATCTCGTTGTCGCCTTGTCTTTACTTGAATCTGTGTATTTAGCTAACGTTAGCTAGGTAACGTTAAATGTTGCTTTAAGTTAGCTTTAGCTGGAACAGTGCAAACGCACTAGCCTGTAGCTAGTGGCAACATCACGGTACAGCTGCTCTCCGTCAGCGACCAAACACTCACATATATAGCTGTTTAATCGTTGGAGGGATTTAGCCAGCATGAACAAGTTCAATGAACTAGCCCTGTTAGCTCTCTCCAAACTACGCTGGAAAACGTGATGCAATGTGCCGCTAGCGGCTACCAGTTCTCGTTACACTACCTGTCTGATGTGGACGGCTTTATCAGAGCCACGAATGTTTGGTTTTTCCTTGACGAGTCGCCCGATTCCTCCTCTCGTCTCTGTCATAATCCGTTTCTTTTCAAAGTACAACTCATGCGTAGAGCCCTCTGTGCGCTGCTACTGATTCACAAGCTCGAGATGCTCCCTCTGACTTCAGGCTTCAAGCTCAAAGCGCCATTTCCACAGTGGGAAAGTGCTCCATGCAGCTCTTCTTCGCCGGCGCTGGTTCTGGCAGAGCAGGCACCACGCATGCGTACTGCTGCCCTCTTCCGTTTAGGCGTAGTTTCTGTTTACACGCATATATTACTTTTGGGCTAAACATTTAAATGTGCCCCACCTGCTACTCTTCGTACTCCTTCTGGTGAATCTCTATATTTGTTCACAGTCACGTTAAGGTGTTTTCTGGCCCTACCAGCCAGTGTGGCACAATTGGCTAGTGTACTTGTTTACTTACTTAATATAGATTCAAAGCATAAACATATGATGTGTATTTAGTCTACTCGCCAGAAACGCCCAGAAATGTTGAGTACTCCAATGATTTATGTTAGAAATGTACTTAAACTTGTGTTCAGGTGGCATTTGCTCCTCCCCATGAACCTCCTTTCCTAATCCAGAGACATCTTGAGGCTTTCTCCACTGCCTCTGTGATGTTCTTGATGGCTCTTATCCTTTCCTTTCCATTGATGCCCAGGTCTCTCCAGGTTTTGTGGAGTGATGCCCTGCAAAACCGAGCCAACCACCATGGGCATGCACCTTGCCTTCTAGCCCTGCTTCTGACAGTCGATGGCCAGCTCTCCATATTTTGTCTTCTTCCTCTTGTAGGCCTCCTGCAGGCGGTCCTCCCACAGCACTGTCAGCTCCATTATAACAATGTTCTTTGTTGCCTCTGAGGCCAGGATGATGTTTGGCCTCAAGGTGGTCAAAATTGTCTAGGTGGTGGGTCGTGCTTGTCTGCTGTTGCATATGCTGATGGTTTCTGCGATGGGTTTCAGAACCTGGTTCTGGCGCCAGGTTTACCGGCCTTTGGGAAGCAGTTGAGGATGTGCTCTAATGTCCCCTTGCCTGAGCATTGCACACAAACCGGTGTAACACTGTAGCCTCTCAGCAATAATGGGAGGATTCAAGTCTGGGTTCAAGGCCCAGAGTTGAACCCTCCCCTTACTGCTGTGAGGTCTCAGTGTTCAACACTGTGGGCCTTGACCCCCTTGCTATGAGGAGTACTGAGTGCTTAGTGTGTTGCTGTGGGCTTACTCAGAGAGGCTTTGTTTCCTCTCGCATTTTAAATAATTATAATAAAAAGGCTGGTATCTCCTTCAAAGAGTAAACACAACACACAGCCTTTCAGTAACTATTATACTGCATTTTTACCATTGTAATACAGCGCAGTCACTTTTCAGGCAGCGCTAATATCTCTCTGAATATACGAACTTCTATTTGTATGCCTCACAGAACTTGGAAACTACATTTCCCAAGAGGTGGACACAACTGTTTTGCATGCTGCCAATGATAAGGACAATGATTGCATTGCTTTGTACTCTCTGACGAAGGTAAGATAGACCAATCAACTGACATCGACAACGACATCATAATAAACGTGTGTGGATATAGTCAGCAATATATCTATACACATTTATGATGAGTGAAACTGCTGCTAAATCATTGAAAAGCTCTTCTGGATCTGGAGGATCACAGATCATATCAGAGGACAAAGTCTGCGAGTGTCTGGGTGACACTATTTCACTCACCTTCGCGGGGGCGACAGGTGTTACAGAAAGCATCAGTTGCAGAAGTACCGAAAAGGTAACAGACATCGTTGCCAGAGAAGTGACGGAGAGAGTAAACTGTGGAAGCAGTGGGGTCAGCAGCGAGGGGAGTGAACCACCTGTCTTAAATCTTCACCCGTAGACTAAAAATCAGTCAGACACATGGTAAAAATCCTTTAGAACTTCAAGGCTAAGTTGAACTGCAGGTCGAGCAAAGGTCAGCAAAGTTCAATTATGGAAGCTGATGAAACCACGGAGTCATGGCAGACCTCTGTAGATGATACAGAAAGAAGAACCACCAAAGCTATCAAGATGATCCTGCGAAGAACATTTCCAGCGACCAGCACGCAATGACCGCCACACAGGTGGGTATTATTGTATCACGACATCTGAAACAGGAGGGCAAAGTTTCCCTTTGTGTTGAGATTCAGGGTGAAGTGGACAGATTTATGAAACTGATGAGGAACTGGCTCAACCAGCAGGTGCAGCTGAACCAAAGGAAGAGGGACCGTGCAAGTATTGCTGTGAAGCAGATAAAGGGAGTCATAAGTCTGCCAGCGCTCTCAGAGGGCCCCTCAGTAAAGGTAAGTGACACTGACATCTGTGTTGGAACCAGAACCAGCTTCCATCAGTCTGGAGACAGATTTCAGTAAAACACTTTGCATCACTGTTGAGCCAATCCATCCACTGATCACTTCACATTATGCTAATCGTCCAACATATGCAAATTAGCATCAGGCAGTTTCTATATGCTGGGGACCCATACTTTACATTTCTAACATAAAACTTTAGGGTATTCAACATTCCCAGGTTTACAATGGTTCTCTATTGGTACCACATCTAGGTTCAAGGTAAAGTTTATTGCCATGCTAAATTAAATGGGAGGATATTATGCTACATATTTTAGAAGACAATAAAAACATGTCTAAAAAGTAAAAAATAAAAAACTATAACTATCTGGTGAGTAACTATATACAAACATAATCTAACACAGTTGTAAAGGTAGACTGTGTGATGATAGTACCCACCTTACATAGTGAAACAAGAGAGAGTAGAATGCAGGTCTGATGGCATCATGTGTTCATTATGTGTGTGCAACAGGCCCTTTCACATTGCACTGCCTGAGACATATAATAATGTGAAAAAGGAAGTTGTGCAACTGACACCGTTATCCAACTTCTCTCTAAGACTCATTGTTGAATTATGATTATAACAGTGCAAAAACCAAAAACATATTTGGGGCGGCCTGTAGAGCATGTAGTGCAGAGACTGATGAGAGGGGTTATGTTTCTTATAATTTGCATGTGTTAAGCACTCTCACAGCCAGAGAGAAGACATTTCCCAGAAATCTGGTGGTATGGCAGCACGAAAAGACTGTGGCAGACTCCGTATCTCACTGATGTTGGATAGCAAAGTTCAGGTTCAGGTTACTTTATTAGTACTTTATTCAAGTTTGTCAAGTTGACCAAAGCTGTTTGAACAGAAAAAAGAGGTTACGAGGCCCTTGAAGGCCTTTACTGTTGGAGAAAATGGTTTCTAAAAAATATATGTTTTTTTTGTAAAACAAGCACACAAGCATATACAGACAACAGTTAATTAATGATTAGCTCTGTGAGGAATATGGCAGCAAACATTTATGCAAGTTAGATGATCGTCTAACAGTAACAGATTTCCATTATTTGGCTTTTTGGAGTCCTTTAACAGCTTTTAAAATCCAGTATTTGCAGTGTTGTGTCTTAAAAAAGGCAAATGAGAATTGAGTGAATGTGATATGATTTATCATTTGATTGTAAGGCACACAAATGCTGCTACATTATCTATAAACAAAACACTTGAAAAGAAAAAGACAATACAAAAATAATTTCCTTTTTTACAATAATTAACTGACAGGGAAATACAATTACATAAGTGCAGCGCTCTGAGGCTGTGATTTCTTCCTCATCTGCCGCTCGATCATCAAGTCAAACTCTTGTCTTTCTCTGAAATGAAAAACAAAAAAACAAAACACTGATCATATTCAGTATTTAGTGTAGAAATTGTTCCTTTAATGTTTTTACTCATCAAACTCTTACCTGTTACTGATGCATCGTCCTTTCAGGTACTTTTCTTCTGCCCTTTTCACTGAGACATTGTCCACCCCAGCTATGGCATAGATGATGGCCTGCACAGGAGGACAATAAACTTACAACACTTGTACCATAAAAAATACCATATGCTGTAATAACAAACCACCAAACACTGATGAGCTGTAGCTCACCTCAGGAAGAAGCACATCCAGGACAAAGGGGACACGCTCCATGGATTTCACTTCAGTCAGGCAAGGGGCGGTGGCCACAGCCGTCGCGTAGAGCTCATTTAGGTACCAGTACACCTGGTCCAACTGCTGGTCGTCTTCCAGGTATATGTTCACCACCCGCCTCCGATTGGCACTTAGAAAGGAGCGGAGCCATCTGGACTGCTGCTGCCCATGGATCACAGCCTGTAAAGGGCAGTAAAACGGGAAGGATGGGTTTATTCATCTTGTATGCACTTTTTTAGCGCTACATACAATGCATATTAAAAGGGATTAAAGGCATTCAGTTTGTTTTATATCTTTTTGTTTGGTAACATTAAAATCTCACAGTGGATGTCATTAGTTTATCTTGCACTCATCGACAGCAGAGACTCAAATATCAAATATAAAACAAAATAACTGATAGGTAGAAATCTAAAACATTATAGCTTTCATAAATATTCTGTTTGTTTCACCTTTGCACACCTGGGCACACCCACCAAACCAGTTAAGCTTTTGCAATTTATTGTGTGACATATTTATTTATTTTATTACATTTTTTGTAAAACAATGAATGGAAAAGCCCGGTGGTCAACGAAAGTACTAACTGGCCTTGTAACCGTACAGTCATCAGCTAAACTCCTCAAATAAAGTCTAATTTTATTCCCAGGGATGGGTGACGGTGCAACCATTACAATGTGTTTCTGTAAACTGTGCCAACACTGGTGAAAGTCCAACATCTAGAACTGGTTCATCCTGTCAAATTAGGTGGCGCTGACACATTGTTACTTTTGGTAAACTTCCAGTAAACTTCCAAATACTGAGAAAGTGTTTGCTAATCCAAGAACTACACTAGCAATACAGCAATACAACATACAATAGGCTCCATAAATCATACCAGAAGGCGTCTTTCAACCATGCGCTGCTTTACAATAAAATGTACAAGCTTCTCATTGGCGCGGTTGTGGGCAGCATGACTCCGGTCTGGCAGCAGCCTCTTTGAACTCCTGCTGACCTCCTCCTGCTGTTCACTAAAGCTGTCCTCCTTATGATCGTCACACGGTGCTTCCATCATTGTATCGTTGGAGATGGTTAGCCTCTCTGACTCTCCCTCTGGGTACTTCCTCCTCACTGGATAGCCTGGAGTAAGTGAGAGACAGACAGTAAAGA